TTTTAGGTCACACTATGGTACCTTTCGGTAAAACCCAAACAACAAAACGATATACAGCATAGCGTACCATAATGTGGGTTTGTTCTTAATAAGGGCGTTTAAAATAACCACACAAAGTGTCAGCTGTAAACCCATTGCAGGTATTTTCTATTTATAGCACGTCACAACAACAACACTGAGAGGGAGACGGGCGCGGAATCCGACTTATCACGCGCGCACACTCGCACAATCTTCTCAGACTGTCATCTTGCTAACCTTACCTTGAACCGTGTGTGTGTGCACGCACGCGTGTGTTTAAAACGACTCGGCTGCCATGACAAATCCTTACAGTTAATCCCACTTTTACCCCCATCCTTTTATTATTTTGGGACCATTGTGATGCCATCTTTGTTTTTGTCCTCCAAGAGTTCTGTGACACAAAGACAGAACAATTGACTGTAATTTTATTTTTTTTTTAACATCCAAACAGAGGTGTGCATCTCTCGCCCACCGTCTGCCACGCAATGCAAATAGGGAGGGAGTTGTTGTTTCTAAAATGGGGGCCCAGGTGCAGGCTAATCTGTTCTAGTTCGCCACTAATTAGGATCAAGGATCGCGGCCACTTTCTCTCGACTATTGATCACTGGCCAGAGAAGTATTTGTCTCCTGTATGAGAGCAGGACCTGGAACACAATCACAGGCCTCCCGCAGGCCTTTTTCTGGATGCTTAAATGTGTCAGTTGGAATTCCGTTTTTGTAATCAGTGGAATACAATGCGTTCCCATGAAGCTGGATTACCCGGATAAAACCCACGCAAGCACGGGGAGAACATGCCAACTCCACACAGGAAGGCCAGGGTCCAAAATTGAACCCATGACCTCTACACTGTGAGGTGGCCGTTCTAACCAGTCGATCACCATAGGAAATGATGACTATCGTGTCAATCAAATTTTATCTTGCTGAATGCATGTATTCACCAACTACTTTTTTAGGTTTTCCATCCAACATCCATCCATCCATTTTCCACCACTTATCTGGGGTCGGGTCGTGGGGGGCCAACAGCCTTAGCAGGGAAGCTCACACTTCCCTCTCCCGAGCCACTTGTTCCAGTTCCTCCCTGGGGATCCCGAGGCGTTCCCAGGCCAGCTGGGATACATAAGTCTCTCCAGCATGTCCTGGGTCGTCCCCGGGCCCTCCTGCCGGTGGGACAGGCCCGGAACACCTCACCAAGGAGGCGTCCAGGAGGCATTCTACTCAGATGCCCGAGCTACGTCATCTGGCTCCTCTTGACGTGGAGGAGAAGCAGCTTGAGTCTGAGCCCCTCCAGGATGGCCGAGCTTCTCACCTTATCTCTGAGGGAGAGCCTGGACACCCTGCTGAGAAAACTCATTTCGGCTGCTTGTGTCCGAGATCTCGTTCTTTCGGTCACGACCCATAGCTCGTGACCATAAGTGAGGGTCGGAACGTACATTTCTTCTTTCCCACGACGGACCGATACAAAGTCCACTTTTTTTTTAGGTTTTTAAGTCAGGTATTTGGTTACAGATCTTGTGCAGATGTTCAGCGAGTATGGTCTATTTTAGGATGACATGTGATGTCATCCACTTGAAAGCACATTTCCAGCAGGACTTAAGTGAGCGTTAGATGGCATTCCACCTTGTTTGGCCTGCCTTTTAAACCGCTGCGCAAGCGGCCGGCGTGACCTTGCCTCGCCGCCCGTGAACTGTCAAGTAGACTATCAAGAGATGATTTATCAATGATTTATGTCTGAATCGCGGCTTTCGCAGGTAATGTAGGTTGAGGCCGCACAAACTGATAGCGGCAGCGTAAGGGTAAGATGTGGATCTTTTTCTTCTCTCCCTTTTTTTTTCTGTACTTGTGATTTTGTTTTCAGATGTGACAAATGGAGTCTTTCAGTTTCATGCTGCAAGGTAACATACGCTTGTTCTTCAGAAACGATTCCCTTAGAAACATGTCATGCTTTTGTCCAAATACCTCCAAGAATTAAGTACACTTTATGCTCCCTAGTTCTTGCCTTGCTGAAATGAGCCCCTTGAAAAGGGTGGCCCTGTCCCATGCAAATGTGACTGACTTGACATTGGGCCTCGACTGCTTGTCCAAATCATTCCATTACATTCTTTCATTTCATTCAGTGAGACCAAATGCTCTTCACACATTTACATGAGTCTTTTTAATTTTGATGATGATGATGACTATTATACCGGTTAACAAGTTTTGAACTATATTTTGGAATTAGAAATGCAAATAAACTTTACTAGATTCATTTTTTGCGCCACTTCCGAGGTTTTTCTCAAGGACATTAAATTTTCATCATAACTTCAGAGGCATTTAAATGCTGTGGTGCCTCTCTTGCTTTACATTTTTCACCATATTCCGAGCCGTTATATGTGGATGATCCTGCACAGACTATCAGCAGTACTTATCAGCAGTAGCAGCGGGCTACGTTAAGTGGCGACTTCCTTCCTAGCACATTTTAATTAAGAATGACACAAGCTCATTCGCAGTGTGCCGACGTTTCCTCTCAGGGGTATTTTGAAGGCGGCTGTTTCATTTGCTGGTGTTGATCCAAGGCGTCTGCAATTTTCAGGGCGCAGGACACCTCGTTTCTCCTGGACCACATTGATTACAATCATCTGCTTTCAGGGTCTAAATGTTGGTTTGAATTCAGGGGTACACGCTGATTTTGAACTCAACCGATTTTTTTACATGCCAAGAGACTCCCAGATGTATTTGTTATGTTTCACGCCCACAAGAGAGGAAAAAACTTTATTTGTAAAATGATGATTCCTATGAAAGCGTGGTCAGATGTTACTCAGTGCTGCACCCAAGTGGCAGTTAACAACACTACAACAATATCGTGAATGAATAGTAATCGATACTGTAACCATTTTTTGTGTGAACTGCTTATCATTGTTAATGGATATACAGTAACAAATTGTGTTTCTGGCAAAGTAGCTGTAGTCAGATTACTTCACTGGGAAGAGTAACGCATTAAATAAACTCATGCGTTACTTTCTAACGTGTTACCGGCATCGCTGGTGACCACCAAGATCCCCTTGTGGTATAAAGCGACTCATGTCGGAGTAGATTTTAATTGCCACCGACGAGGTGTTGAGTCATCAGGCTGTTATCAAATGCCGACTTTGCCACGTAAATATGTCAGATACGTCATCATTTCAGATACTGTCCTGATGCTCGATGCCTTTCGGTCTGAGGGGATGAGTTTAGTGTGATGAAAGACAAGACGACAAAAAAAGAGGAAGTGAAGATGAGAAAGCGAGTATCTCCTTGCCTGGTGCCCTTGGTGTGGCGCTTGAAGGCGTCCAACTCCCACAGGCCCCCCATGTCTTTTGTTCTCACAGGGTATACAAGGAGGAGTGTGAGCATGCGCTTACACCTGAAGCCATCCAAAGTGCATCAAAGAACACTTTTCGGTGTCATTCATGGGCTCGACGCCCCAAGATTCCCACCTGCTCACCTTAACATCGGGAGCCACCTGTCAATCAAGCTCAAGTCCTCACACATGAACGAGCACGTGAGTGTCACATGTTCAACGCACTGTGACATTTGCATCAAAGATGGCGCGGGATGTCTTATGAAATACAGGGAGGTAGGGGTGGGGGGCACAACATTGAGCATCATTGAGATTTTTGGGCAACTCCTGCAGGAGGGAATATTGAAACACTGATGATGCAATGATGACACTAAATCAATGCGAGATTAATCACGCGGCGGTCAGGTGGCTAAAAATAACAACGCGGTTTTGTTGTATTTGCATATCACCTTTGTGGCGGATGACAACAGTGTCCCTGTGAAAACCTCACCAGTAGAAGAGCGCTAAAAGCCCTGCACTCTGTAAATGCCAGCGGCAAGCATGCTCTCACTATGCTGTCCCTTGAAGGAAAACAAAATAGACCATAAGAAGGTATCAAAAGTAATACAACAGCACATTTCATAGTGTTGCGCAGCATATTTCTCATTTACAAATTGCCCGATTTGTTTTTTTTTAATGATTATTTTGTTATTTATTGAAAAACTCACCTACTCGCTTTACTTCTACTCAAGCCAAAGCCCTGACTGACCTAAGTATTGCTTTGGTGCCTAGATGGCATCATGGTGCCAAGGACTCATTTTGAAGCAAGGGGAGGAGCTTCATTTAGTCAGGCCGTCGAACTCTGTTAACACAAAAGTAGTGCTTTGCTGCAATCTTGTTGCATCTATAGGCACTTCTAAACCTTTTTCCCGTCACTCACTCGTGGGTTTTTGTGATTTGTGGGTGGTGGGGACCAAGCCTTTCTATAAATAGTGGGGAAACTGTTATGCTCAAACCATACCTTGAAAATGAAATGCCTTAAAGGAGTCACATTATGCATTTTTTGTCACACCTTAAAACAGTTCCCGGGTGTGTTAATTGCATGACCATGACATGCTTTTGTCACCTTACATTAGCTTCACAACTGGTGTCGAAGCCCTTATTCAGCTGATTCAAATTGATGAGAGCAGAGCCCTGAGTGGGGCTGGGTGGGGGTGGGGCTGGGGGCATGGGGGCCAAAAGCCTGTAAAGACAATAAAAGCGTTTTCAGTCCTGAAGGCATGACTTCATATATCCCACTCTATGTATGGCACACAAATTCACATCGTGAAGCACAAATACCCAGCTGGCGCATCAATTTCACTGAGTAATCAACTGTGCGCTCTTTATCATATGCTAATCCTGTTAGCTAATGCTAATTTGTTCAACCAACAAAATGCGGTGCAGCTCTGCTTGTCTTTTCGTTTTGTTTCTGCAGGTTTAGTGTATTTGACAGGGTAGCCCAGCAGTTGCTGAAAAGTGTCTTTGGAGTTTTGCCCAGCTGAGCTGATTATGTCATTCAGAGAGAAACTCATTGTAGAGACATTTAACATTTAAATTGGGCCTGCAGTGAGGTGCAGAAGGGCTTGCTCAAAGCCACATTTTCAGAAATGGGCAGATTGCAAAAGATTTAGTCGGCTGTTTAATTTTGCACTTCATAGAGAGGCAGGTCCTCCAGAAACACAATTATTTATACAAGCCATCAAAAAGTCAAGTTTTAAATGGAAATGTGTAACGTTAATAACCAACTTTCAGTAACATCCAGTTATACTCCATCTATAATTGATCTCATTTGGAAAATATTCTGAAAATTGACCAGTGAGTGCTCTTCTATGCGTTCCCATCGGACTGCAGAGTTGGACTCCTGCGAGTGGAATAGCGGGGAAGGGAATTGGGGGAGGGGGGTGGAGGGCAACAGAAGGCATGAGTGTCCTTGTAGCTTGTATGGCTGGACTTGTGCATGGACTATCCATCTGTCAACTTTGTTCCTCCCCAGTCTGTGACTGCATGGTGACTAATCTTTCTGTGGTAATGAATGAAACAAGAGCTGCTGGTGGTGGCGGTGCCAACACAGAAATGATCTATTTACATACATGCATGCTGTCACTTATTTGTGCTCTCGAAGAAAACCGTGCGAGAGGCTTCTCATTGGGGTGCTAGCCCTCGAAAGGGCTGCTCCTTTTTTAAACTCTTTATTTAAACAACAAAATCAAAACACATCATTTCATCGAACCAAAGTGTGCTAACTTAATGCTAGCATATAATGCAACGCGCCAGACGCAGGCAAACTAAAATAGGCATTGATCTTACGGGTAAGTATTATGTAAACAATCAACCAACTGCCACGTGAAAACACACAGAGCAGAAAGACACAAAAAGAGTGGATACAGCAATACTCACAGGCATATATTGTCTCTGATCTGTGGGAACGATGACTATTACCGGAGCTTATGGGTTGGCAACCTTCTCTGCCTCTTCTACTTGCTCTTGTCTGTCATGTGAAGTTTGCACGCTGAACTGTGATTGGTCGTTACTTGAGCTCTGACCAACTATGATGTCATTTTCAGTCGACAGCAAGTGGCAAAATGTGTTTTTAAAAGTGTTAAATTGTAAAAATAATGAAGTTATCAGATTCATTACAGACAAAATATAAACTTTTTGCTGTTGAAAATTGCAAAATTTGTTCCCCTTTATTGCCTCATAATTTCGAATGTTGTGTAATTTGACAGCCAACTTATTTTTATTACGATGCTTCTGTATTCAGTAATGACTAATCAATAATCAATATTGTCAGAAATAAAGGTCCCGGAATCCAGGTTTGCTCAGAGGGTATTCAGTATATAGAGACTAGGTGGTCGTTTGGTCTCAACGCACTTTTTTGGTCCACAGGCGTTGATGGATGCGAGTAGGACGCGATCATGTCAAGCAAATTCGACTGTTTTAATGACGGAAAGGCGTGTAGGTGGTAGACAAGAGAGCGAGAGAAAGGGGCTGCTGTGTGTGGACAGTCCCATTATTATGGTCTTGAGACTTAACGTCGGCCTCTCACTGCGCACGCGTGATCCCAGCTGAGCCTGAGCCCCGTGAAGAGCCGCTAAGTTGCGAGTGGACGTCGCTCCGTCTTCATACAGATATTTATATTTTTGTACATTTATCTTGCTATAAAGAGATGAAGCTCCTAGTGCCTTGTCGTGGATAAAGTGCGCCCCCCTCGCCCCCACCCCCCCAAAAAGGAATCGGGACTACATCTTCAGTTTATGAATGGCCCCGACATGGAGGAAGCGCCGTTTGAGAAAGTCCGAAGCCGGCGGAAGAGGAGTCCGTGTCCGCCGGGCTTCCCCGTGAGCAGCATCGCTTGCGAGGACGAGTTCGATTGCAAGGAGCTGGAGTCTCTGTTCCAAAACTACAACCTGAAACTGGAGCAGACGTCCACGCTCAAGGCGCTCGCCGTGCTCATCGTCATGTCGTCGGCGCTGGCCGGCGCGGAGCTCCTGGGCGGCCCCGGCCACCTCACCATCTCTAAGGGCTCGCACCCGGTGCACTGCGTCGTCTTCACGTCGCTCTTCATCGTCACCAACGTCAAGTACCTGCAGGTGACCCAGTTGCAGCAGATCGTCAACCTGAGTCTGCTCTTTGGATTCACCTTCGCCTTCCTCTGCTGTCCCTTCTCGCTGGGCGCCCCGGGCTCGGAGCCGCAGACGTCGCCCGACCAGGGCGTGTGGCAGCTGGTCCTGGTCACCTTCGTCGCCTACGCGTTGCTGCCCGTCCGGACACTGCTGGCCGTACTCTTCGGGCTCATGGTGTCCATGTCGCACCTCATTGTGACCGCTACCTCCGTCAGGACGCAAAAACTATGGAGAACGGTGAGTACACTTACGGACGCGCGCGTGCACAAGCACACACCCGTATAGATAGGTACAGCACACGTACACGAACATACACACAAATACACGCGCGGTCACACGTATACTTGACACGCGTACTCGCACACGCGCAACTATGCAAACATGACACTCGTGTACCCAAATACCCATCAACAAAACAAAAAACACAAGAAAGAAACAGTCGCTCACACACGCACGTGCAGTTACATACTGAAAGTCTGAGTGTCTCATTCGCGCGTTCAATCACGCACGTACACTCATTCACGTATTCGTGTACACAAACACTCACGTAAACACGAATACACGCACACGTAAGCACGCTCGTACAAGTACCTGGACAAAACACGCGTCATTCACACGTATACACGCGTAAACTCACGCTTGTGTACGTGTGCAAACGAACAAAAACACTCAGACACAAAAAACGCCATCAAATGTACCCAGTCACACAGGTACACTGACACATACTCCAACTCAGATTGAGTGTGAGATGAGGGCTGAGTTCACTTGGTTGTGGCAGAGGGTCTGGGCACGTGCCACGGCTAGGGGAAGAAACCGCCCAGCCGCAGGTTCTCCATCGCCCCCAGCGCCTTCCACTTGCCAGGCATTTGCAGCGGCAGTGTGGGAAGGCGAGTTCCTCTCTGCCTTTCTTCCCTCATGCCTCAGTGTCAAACCCGCGCGTCGCATTGACAGCTTGGGGCATCTCCACGTAGCTATTTCTGTGCATAGCTTTCATTTTTTTTCACGTGACCTTCCTTGCATTTGAAATTAGCTTTCCCATTTCAATCATCTTGGAATGCATCTTTGATTGTTTTTTTCCAGTGTTGCATCTTATCAGGCGTTGTTACCCATATCAATACTCACGACATTTATTTTAATTACATATGTAATAGGGTCAGGATTCACTGCACTGATGACAACCCCAAAGTTTCCTGCTCACGTGGTAAGGCATCAGCCTTGTGTACATACATTTTATTTTCAGCCCGACATGGATACCGATGGAGATTTGGAGCTGATATTCGTGTGTGAAAAACAGTACAACCTCCCAAACATTGAATGCCATATTCAGGTCCTAGCTGGGATGAAAACTCGGCCCAAGAATAGCCATCCGGCAGCTATACGGGTCCCTCTTTCATCCCCTTCAACAAATACGATTCAACACAAGGCTCAGCGAGCATTATAAGGAATAATGTCTCTTATTGTATATTCTTTTTGAACTTTTTTTTTTTTTTGGCAAGAAGAGTTACCACTGTACAAGTGTGTTATCGATTTGTTACTCCAAATATTGATGTAACTATATCCACAGGACACTAACAGAAGCTATTCGCCCCAGACGATATTAAGGTGTTATTACAGGCCGACCGGGGTTGGTGCAGGTGTGGTCTGTGTGTTCGGGGCTCATGCTACGACGCTCATCTCCAAGCTTAATGGATTAGCTCGCTCTCTCTATCTCTCTGCGACCAACACTGTCCTTCACACAGCTGCCGAGGTGTCTCGTCGGCCGCATCGATGAAGGGGGGGAGAAAACAATCTCCTCAGCAAATACGCTGTCATCGGCCGAGCGCGTGATGTACTGATCAAATCTCAATCATTTGCTTCCCCCCCCTCCGGAGAAGCGCACATGGCAACCAGGTTGCGCTGTGACTTTCTGAGTGATGTGACTGCTTTGCTCACATGAAAGCTTAGGTGGGAAGTAACCAAGTACAAATAATTTGTTACTGTACTTAAGTGGATTTGTTTTAGGTGTCTGCCCTCCTCTAACTGCTGGTTTAAACGGAACCCAAATTGGGTGAAAAAGATAACCCACACTCTAAAAACAGGTGGCTCTGTGTAACCTAAATGGCGTCAAAAAGGGACCAACCAAACTTTTTGGGTTACTTACTGAACCCCAAAATTTGAGTCAAATGAATAACCCCCCAAAATTGTTGTTTAATACAAAACAACCCCAAAAAATTGGGTGGTAAATAAATAGACCCAGCAGTTGGGTCACTCCCATTTTTTGGGTTATTTTTGACCCAACTGTTGTTAGAGTGCAGTGCTGAGTCCAAAAGGAACCAAGTCGTTGCTTGTTGTTTACACCCAGACATTGGGTTGAGAATCTGACGCAGCATGTTGAGTCAAGATTAAGATCCACTCAGGGGTTAGAACGACCCATACTGATGCGTTAATGAGACCAAGTATTGGGTTACCAGCCTAGCAGTATAGCTGGGGTTAAAAATAATCAAAATTTACAAACATTATATAAGAAACAACGTTTAATTCTCAGGGATTACCTGCTGGGTCAATATAATGCACAAAATCCACAGCTACCCAGCAAATGGGTTAGGAAACAACCAAGCACTTTTTAGATGCTGCCAAAAAAGCGGAGTTGTACTCTAGCTTTAAACGCACCTTAAGTTTAATTGTTAAGAAAATGTGCCATGCGGTGTTCAGGCTTGCCCTACTTCCGCTGCTGCTGGCAGAATGTCGCTCCACTCCTTCGTTTCCAGCCACCTCCTTTGAGGCTGATTCTTATCCCCGAGGGTAGCCGTCACACAGTTTCTCCCTCCCCATCACTCTTATTTGTATGCCTCAGCAGCAGCTCGGGTCTGCTTAACTTCACTATTTTTGTCGAATCATTCCCCAGCTTGTTGTTTGACTGTATTTTGCAAGGAAGAGACGGCACAAATAGTGTAGATTCTGAGACATGAGTGCTGAATGAGCTGCAAGGAGCTGTCCTTAGTCCTGAACTGGCCTGCCAGTCCTCTGCTCTGTGTCCTTCGCTGTCAGAAAAAACTGTTACAGCAGGAGTTCCTCAAAAGGCACGCTCTCTATTAATGTGGGGCCCGTGACACGCGAAGTCGTTCACGCAGTCAAAATAGGAAGGGGAAGCGTTTGCAACCACAATGCACTTGCAAGTTAACTACTACTACCCTACTACACTGTAAAAGCAAACAAACAAAAAAAAGTTCAGTGAACTCAAGGTTTCCAGACAACAAACCTCAAAATTTGAAGTTGGGCAATTAAACAGAATATTTTAAGTTTTGATGTCATGAAAATTGTCTATTTCGCATTTCACCATGAATAAACTGTATTGTCCCCCAACTCAAAAATATTTATGAAAACAACTCAGCAAATTGTTTTGGAGCACAGAATTTGCTTGCCTTGTTTTGCTAACATTGTTGCCATAAATGCCAATAATTAATATTTTAAAGTTGTACCAACTTCAATTACTGTTTTAGTCCAAATATATATATATATATCTATATATATATCTATATATAGATATATATAGATATATATATATTGGTCAATGTACTACATTTGTTCCTACTGTATTTTTTTTATTTTTTTTTATGGTTCATAAGAATGAGCATTTCACAAAATGTTAACTGTAGTTGGAATAGGCTCCAGCTCACCTATGAGCTAATGAGGTCAAACACTCTATAAAATGCATGGATGTTTTGTTTTTGTTTTGTTTTTTTGTTTTTTAAAGAAGATGGGGTAATGTGTGTGAATGTTCTCCTGTCACCATGGAGGTGTCACATTCGATGAATCCTTCACAGAGAAGGTTATTTTTGAAATTGCACGATAAACTAATAAAATACTAATGCTTTTGCCAGGTCCGATGTATGTACAAAGTTTTATGAATTTTCATGCATGTTTAGACTCTCAAAATTAACATCAGCTTTCCATAGCTGATGTGTAATCTAAGTCAGGGGTCCCCAACCGCCGGTCCGCGGACCGGTACCGGTCCGCAGGGCATTTGGTACCGGGCCGCACAGAAAGAACTTGCCTTATTTCTGTTTTATTTATTTCGGAACACGAAAGATGTTTTATTTTGAAAAATTACCGGTCGAAACTACTGGATCAAAGTTATGGCTGAATACTCTGAGATCGCCACAATAGCACTGTTGCTATTTCCGACATCCTACCTGTGTGAAGTGGGGAGTTTCTGCAGCAACGGCGACTAAAACAAAATTACGAAGTAGACTGGACATAAACCACACACTTGAGGTGTCATTGTCTCCTATTACCCCGAGATGGGACTGTCTGATTGCAGAAAATCAAGCTCGGGGCTGTGGTGAGTCGTCATTTTCATGCACTTTGAATTTGCGTTGTATCGTATTTTGAAGGCATTAAACATTACCAGAGCGATAAGAGTGTTGCGACCAGATTAGACGCTACTTGTGTTTATTATTATATTTCGAAAACACCACAGTTTTCATGCAGCTCATACCATATTATTTTGTTGTATTAATTCGCCACACCTTAAATGCCGGTCCCTGAAAATATTGTCTGACTTTAACCGGTCCGTGGGGCAAAAAAGGTTGGGGACCCCTGATCTAAGTCTTCTTTAGACACCAAACTAGTTGGGATTATAATGGACAGTACAATCTATCAAAATGTTCTGAGCTCCTGTTTCCATTCAAATATCATATTAAACAGATTAAATCGGCCCCGAGAAGTTGCTGTAGTTCAGTTTCCCATCTTGACGTCACGTTGTACTTCTTGAGACTGTGAATTATTTGAGGAGTGAATCAACATCTCAGATGGCGGCATCCAAGTCGCGCACACCCACTTTGCCTCTATTGCTCCAACACATGGATAATCAACCATCAAGTGCACACAATCGTTAGAGTAATTCATTATTAACAGGATGGCAGTGTACACATATCCTGTTTCCATGCCGATGTTGCATTTCCCAGAATCAAATTTCTGAAGCATTATCAGACTGTGAAAGTCGTTCAAAAACACCTGAAATGCATTGCAACAACAATTCCAAAAGCAAACGCCCGCTAAACTATACACAGTTGCTTTGTAACGACATCCATTAAAACCAGCGCTTTTTGTCGGTGCAATTTACAAATAAAATCGCAGCGTTCATGCCTTGCTCATAATTCCTCCGCAAAATGAGTTTATAAAAATGTCATTGCTTACGTCCTTGTGGACGGCGGTGATCTAGATGCACTGACTCCAGTCAGTGCCTTGTGAAGGCTTGCTACAAAAGAGCGTCCGCATACTTTGTGGAGAAATATGCGCATTCATATTCACCGCACATGTCTGTGGTGCTGGAGCTGTGTTTATTGTGAGACAAATCATGGCAGGATCGCGCTAATGTGACTTTATGGCCAAGTAATGCATTGTGAATTGGTTTCTTGTTTAGGGACCATTAATGACAAATAACCTGAATATATGCTGAGAATCCACGAATACTCGGGTATCAACGGTGCCTACAGCAAAAGTAAACATGAGGATCTGTTTGGTTGATGTGCAATGCCAACCAACCTTGGTGAAATGGGGGAAGGGGGGGTGGAGGTGGAGAATCAAGGTTGAAAGCAGCCATGCTGGCGTACGGTCATCTGTTGTGATGGATGAAGCTGCTCACACACCCACTCGTGCTTCCATGTCGTAATCCCATTGAAAACTTCACATTCATCACTCATTCTCCTTTTTGATACCTCAGATTGATGATTGTCACTTTTCAAAAATAGAGAGCAAACACAAGTGCACGAAAAAACAAAAACAAACCGACGTCGGCCCAGTTGCACAATCTGTTTGTCTTCCGAGCATATGCAAAGTTAAGTAACATTTGGTTTGTCATATTTTTTGTGTTGTTAGCTGGCGGCCAACACGGTGCTGTTCACCAGTGTCAACCTGTCGGGCCTGTTTGTGCGCATCCTGACAGAGCGAGCCCAGAGGAAGGCCTTCCTGCAGGCGCGCAACTGCATAGAAGAGCGACTTCGCATGGAGGACGAGAATGAGAAACAGGTGCATGCCACAAAAGCACTTTGGTGCAGGGGAATGTCAACTCATTGAGTCGAAAATACACAACTATGCACACGTTTGCAACACCAGGCAAGACAGCAGAGTGTACGTGGCAACTGTACTGTAATAATAAATTCTCTTTTCACGATGCAGATGCTGATTGCAAACTGTGCATGACCAAATACCGTATTGGCCCGAATATAAGACGGCCCTGATTATAAGATGACCCCCTCTTTTTCAAGACTCAAGTTTGAAGAAAGACTTTGTGAACACCAAATTAATTTTTATACAGAAAATAATTACAGTACATCTGAAACAAATGATTCTAACAATATATTCGAGAGAAAAAGCATGTTACTTTGCCTCATTCAAATCTTAATATCTGAACATTTAAATATGTAAACTAAAGTGCAATCACATCCGTAAATGAATGGCTTCTGGTTTTTGAAATGTAAATTACATCATAACTTCTCTTCAGCTGCCGGTTAACCTGGCCGATCTTCGACCCACTTTTCTCCAGATTGTCGCTACGTTTCTCCATTTTCTGTTATCTCTTCTATTATTTTCTTCTCTTTTCTTTCTTACCACTATTTTTTATTTTTCTTCTTCGTGCTACCGCTATTTTTATTTTTATTCTTCGTGACAGGGGTTCGCTTTGGCCTGGGGAGTCAAGTTTAGCATTCGCTTCAATGGTATCTGGCGCCATCTAGCGTCGTGAATGGACATAATGTCTAGACCCCGAATATAAGACGACCCCCACTTTCTCAGTCTTATTTCAATGCAAAAATCACCGTCTTATATTCGGGCCAATACGGTAGATACTATACAGTATAAATGTGAACATGGACAGCAGCAAGAATAGCAGCAGTTTTCTCTCTAAGCTGCGCGCGTGAGCAATTGCGCACACCATGACGCTAGCACGCGCCACGCACACATGACTTTTCCACACTCATTTCTTCATTTCTATTCCAGTGGGATCTACAAACAGGACACCACACCATTCCCACTTCCCTTCCAGTTTCAGTCGTGCGACAGAGGTTGCAGTATTGCTCACCTTGTTACAAAGAACGCTGAGAGAATTTGAATGCTCAGATGCATGGAAAAATTAGCGGGCTGCAGAGCAGCACTTCATGTCGCAAAATGTGACTTGTATCAATACATAGCCAATATACAGTGTTCGCTCACTACTTCGCTGCTCTGTTAATCCGACTTCACTCGATCGTGGGGTTCTCATTTGTGAGCATAACTGCATGTAGTGCAGTTTTGTTGATTTTTTAATTCATGTGTAACGGATACAAACATGCTGGGGGCTGTATATAGGTGCAGATGTAAATGAAAAAAAAATATATACACGAATAAATAGATACTATACGTACGTAAGTGAATGTCAACAGTAGAAAGAATATTCAGCAGCATTTGTATGTGGCAACAACTGTGCATGTTTCAATAAACAGGAAAGAATCGGCTTCGCCAAGTGACTAACAGCTACAATTTGTAGTTGAATGAAATTAACTGTAATTCTAACAATCATGGTGTTTTTTTTTTTTTTTTTTTTTTTTATATATATAATCTTGCATCCAGGAGCGCCTCCTCATGAGTTTGTTGCCCAGGAACGTCGCCATGGAGATGAAGGAGGACTTCCTGAAGCCGCCAGAAAGGATCTTTCACAAGATCTACATCCAACGACATGACAACGTCAGGTAAAACACCCGCTCGGCTCTACGAGACTCCACGGCCTAGTTTTAAACTTCCCACCCGATTTAAACTCATTAAAACACACCTAAACTTATTGAACACACTTTTAAGAATACTTCTTTGTGCCTTTTGCGCATACATTTCTCCAAATACAATAAGAGACACATTGTTTATTTTTCACTCTCAGTTTATTTTTCAAACTTACACATACAACTAAAGAGAATTAAACATTGTGTAGGCAGCACCAAATTGTTTAAGCGTACCATGTATAATAAACATAAGTCTGCTAGCTAAATGCTAACATTACATGGGAAGAGAACTGGACTGGCTAACCTGATTTAGCATTTACATCGATATACTGTAATGATAAACCTTTGAAGAAGTGCAATTGCGACACACAAACACAAGCATAATCATATTCTGTCTGCTCTATGAGAAAGACTGTTAATGGATTTAAATTGGGAACCTTCTCTGCCTCTTCTTGCTCTTATTGATGGTACACCTCTTGCTGTGGACCTCATTGCTGCGCGGCATGTCACAGCACAACATGGTACTCCAGGTGGTGCGCCACTCTAAATTTGGACTTCGCTCTACACTGTTTAAAAAAAAAAAATTATAAAATTAATTTTAAATATGATACCTTAAAAATCCGCAGTGTATCTGGGCGTAAACAATGAACTGAGAAATTGAAATGACAAAATTGAAATTACAAAATAAGTTAATGTGGCGTGGTGGGAAACCGAGAAGAGAGTCGTACTTTGCAGTGGAAAAGCAGCATCAGATAAGATCATCCATGCATTTCACAGTGACATCAGACCCGTCGAGGCCCTCCAAGGAAATTCACCATCAACGCATTGAACGCTCGCATTGGGACATGTCTGCCTGCCAGCATTAAAACTGTCTTAGTGCATTTAAAGATTTGTCGTTTTGGATCATTAAACAGAAGCGAACCAACGTCCGCTGACATAAAAGATCCAATTAGGGACTTGCTAGGAATCAGATAATAGGCCACTAGTGGGCAACTTCGGGGGTCATCGAGACTCAGCAGCACCCTGGAGGGAAAAAAAGGCTTGTGAGGTTCTGGAGGAAGAGAAACTTAAATGACGTTTAAACCAATTTCGGTGATAGTCGATTGAGCAAATTATGTTTCAGCGGAAGGAAGGCGCCTCATTATTATTGGTTTCCCCATGAAGTGACACTCCAGAGAAACATCTTACTGTTGTTAATCAACATACTATACTGTAGTTTCTCTTACCAGCTCCTAAAGCAGGGGTGGGGAATCTACGGCGCGTTGGCCATATGTGGCCTTAAAGAACATTTTATCCGGCCCACCAGGCAATTAAAATAAATAAATAAATAAATAATAAATTAATTAAACAGAAAGTCCAGAGGCATGCCGACAAATGTTTCTAATATATGAAAATAAATGTTGACTGGCCATTTGATTAGGTGCACATTCAGATGCAATGCAAAGACCGAAACAAATATTTTGCATTTTAAACGGTATACTTTGTTTTGAGAAGCATCATTCATCAATAAATTGTAATTTTATTGCAAAGTATTTCTTTGATATTTTGTTGACATTTTGGTTGATCAAATTAAACTGAATTGCAAATAAAATGTCTCGTGATCATGTAACTGTATAACATTTTGAAATGTACACTTATTAAAGGAATTACGAAGTTAAATTAACACAGTTAAGCAGAAATAATATAGGATAGCTAATTTCAGTGATTAATTAAATCAATTCAACAACCATGATTCATTTTAAACATGATAATGCATTCTTTTGAATACATTCAACAGAATTTCAATTTTATTCATAATTGTGTCATATTTCAAGGTGGTCATGTACCTGATGGAGAGTCTCACTGAAATGTCCTGTATGTTGGATCGTAAACTACAGTACAGCATGTTTGAACCCCGCCCAACCCGATAGTGTGACCCCCGCCCGCCCCTCCCACCACATATTGGACTCGGCACAGGATTTATGTCATTCGGGTGAACTTTAATTACTAGACACAGCGCGTGGCTCCGTTTCTTTATTATGCTCGGCCAAGGTGGGCACTGTTTTGATCTGATTAGAGTCCAGCCAGGCGGATATTGTTGTGATCAGCTGCTAAAAATAAAAAATGGGATTTAACTCCGACTAACGTAACCGTTGCCTTCCATCAAGATTTGGCATAAAAATGTTTTTTGTTTTTTTTTGTTTTTTTTTTAAATAAAAGACCACACCTTTTATTGTGCTGTTTTCTCCACAATTTGAGGTACTTTCTAGGTAGGGTGGCAATAACATTTCTATAAAAAGTTGATTCTGCATAACGTGCACTTTAAAGCGAAACCCTCAAAACAGGTACAGTATTTAAAACATTCAAAAATATCCATGCCTGAATATACACCATTTTCTAAACGCAGTGCATTTAATATTTTATCTGAAATCAAAATTTTAAATTGCTCCCAGAACCACAGGGTTCCATAACCAAATATGCAAATACTAAAATCAGTTGGGAATATTCATAGCAGAGATAGGGATCTTTACAAAGTCAAAAACAATGCTGAATAAGATCTTCTGCTACTTGAAGAGCCGACTTACGTCCTGTTGGTGGATCACCAGGGCGGGGGATGGCGTCTGGGGTGTGCATAAGTTAGTTTCCGGTGGGGGTGGGCAGGTGTTGTTTTTGAATCAGCAGAAAAATCGTAAAGATCGTCACCCTGTCCCTTATTGTTCACTGGGTGCGGGGTGTCCTGTAATTTGTAACTGCTTTCAGGCCTTTCCACACAGAGAGCAGCCTCGCTGCATAGTCTCGCTGCATAGTTTTGCGATGTCAATGTCCTTTGTCAATCGGTTTCGGGCGTGTTTGTACAGTCCCTTTCTCCAGTTTTGCTTTTCTAAGTTGCCTGAGTTTGGCAGTGAACCATGGCTTGTTATTATTGAAGGAGGGGAAGGACTTTGTTGGTACACACACATCCTCAAATAATGGTATTTTTATGTCATCATTGCTAAAATATATTTCATTTGATTAAATTCAAAGTCTTCAAATAATATAAAATATGCTTTCCCTCCCTTGAAGCGTTCACTTTCCAACACAGACTATTTACTTCATGTGAAGTATTTCCCTCATCTGTTCAAGGCTATTCAGTCCACCCCCATACATACAGTCCACATTGCTAGCTTAATGAAAAAATAGAATTGTGACATTTTGTTGAAAAACAAAACCATAACAATAACATAATTAGGTCTGATTTTTTTTAAATGAAAATCCCGCACGTTATTACACTGACAGCTCCTTTTGAAATGTGTCAAACAAAGCTGCAGAAACACCCCTCCTCCTCTGGGAGTAAAATTATGTTTGTATACTTGTGAAAATAACTCTCCTTCGATGGCTTTATTAGGCAATATTGTATGATGATGGGTCAGGGCATGTTCGCTTTCAGAGTCTTAAATCGTTTCAGTGCACCCTAAAAATTATAAATGGCTCAAAGTAAATGATTTCTTCTTCTTCACACAAAGGCTTATTCCGACAGTCAATATCTTTGGCAGCCTTGCAGATCACAAGTTCACGCGAGTGCTAAATGCGGCTTTTACACCCCTGTGTTCCACACGGATTTTAAATAACTTAAAAATTATGCAGAGGCGAAATGTGTGAATATAATAAAACAACGACGACAACAACAATAAACTCAGAAAGTTTCATCAGCGTCTCTTGAACAAACATTCGTTCATGGCCAATAATGCATCCGTGTTTCTTCTGCTGCATTTTTTTGTGGGGAGAAGGTCACATACTGTTTTTAACATCTGATGACTGACGACCCCACACATGCTGAGTAAGAAAATCACTAATTATGCTTTATGCTCTTATTATGTGTGCTGTACTCCAGATGACCAACACAGCACACCACACATGCAGTATTACCATATCACTGACATTTCTGTTGCAATACCAAGACTAACCTGTGAGAGGCAGTATGTTGTCACAGGTCTTCCCAATTTGGGAAATACAAACAAACAAGGAGTAGAAGAAGAAATGGAATCTAAGCCAGTTGTTTAAGTGGGCCTGGTACGGAGTACCAACACTTAATATTAGCCTCTAGCATTGTGGGACTTTACATGAACACACAACTCTCTCTTGTCCTGGTTCTCTCTTGCGCTGTCTGATACAGTATCATAAAGAGTCGTATGAGTATCACTGATACTCATACGACTCTTTAACTAATTCGTGTCTTTCAAATAAAGAAAAAATAATAGAGCATTTATGCTTCTGAGAACAGTTTATTTTGCTGTGTGCGCTGTCATTTCAACATATCAAGGAGACATACTCAGAAACGTAACATACCGACAACACAAAGGCTAACTTCAAAAGAGAAGCTTACCAAATCATACATGGGGCCAATGCAGCCTTGGATTGCTTTCATTTTGAGGTTGCTTCCCGTGGTGGCGTCCCGGTTAGCTTGACTCGTCTTTTCGACATTTCGGCTTGCCTTATCACAATTTTTATTGCCATTATGACCAACATCGACACAGCACATATTCAAAATCATATTCAGTCACTAATTTAGGATGCTAAGAAACTGCTAGTAATTATGCCATCATTGTATGATCTGGCAAAAATTCCGCCGTTTGCAGCTAACAGCTAGCCTACAAGCTAGCAACTGTTAGCAACGAGTGCCCAGCTGGCAACAACAAGAAGGTTGACGGCTGTTGCTTTGCTTTGCTTTCTTTCCTTCTTTTTCACTGATGTGGACACGATGTTCCAATAATCTAAACGGTTGTTTTTGACATTGGGTGTCTCATCTAATCTTTGTCTGGCATCCCATGATCGGGCCTTTGTTGACTTTGTTGCAAGGGGTGCTCACATTTGTCAGTATGTGTATATCCCTAAAACAACAACTTGCTATTGGAAATAACTGGAAGGAAATATTCACTTCAGCAAGAACTAAATGGAAAACAACAAAAAAAAAAAGATTTGGCTGGAAGCCTTAAGTGGGCCCCGCGACAGGATCTATTGTGTTTTCTTGAGGGATTAGATAACGGGACATGTGTTGTGTAGGCTGCCTATTCAAATTCAATTTGGGTTTTCTCCATTTTTTTTTTTTTTTTGCTCTATTATTGGCCGCTGCACTGTATGTACCCACAATGCAGTTAAGTGTCACATTAGGCCCACTGTTTGCAGATTTGCACGAATGCAACATTCAGCGTTCTAAATATTTGTCTATCACAGATGGCGGTCAATTCAAGTGTTGGCATGAATTAATCCAACCGCCTTCTCCTTCAATAGCATCTTTCAGTGGAAATGTCTCTGATGCAGAATGAAGGGTCAAAGTGAAACTGGCAATTTTCTGACTGAGGACAAGGATGGGCTACTTCAATGATGGAGGGGGCCACAATTTTTCATCACTGCTCTTCAGGGGCTCACATAGAACCACACACACTTCCTAACCAGATGTATGACAAAAAGGCCATTTTTAAATATGGACAAAATACGTGCTCTTTTTTTCATCATACATTTGTCATTCAAGGACGTCACTAAACTGCTGAACAGTAATCCAACATTAAGTGCTAGAACTAAAATTGTGTATCACAAAAATCAACACACTCAAAATTTTAATATTATTCTGGGACAATGGTTTTCCTGCATATTATACCAAATCCCCTAGGCCTACTCACGTTGTAGTGTTGGGCAGTATAAAACCCAGTGTAAGCACAACTAAGACATGTCTGTCATCTAGTGATGAGTGGTGGAATTACAATTTAAAACTATGCACATTTGCAGTTTGGCATCTGCAGTTTCTTTTTTATTTTAAATATTTCAGGGGGGGTTTCCATGATAATGAATCTTTAGCATTTTTTTATGGCGAATTTTTGGTGTTTGTAAAGTACAGGAAAATACATTAATAAATAATTATTTTCTGCCTCAAGACCGCAAATTCCTCATTCTTTGCTTTGTATTCTGCATCTCATGACCTTATTATGGAATGCCATGCCACTGTGAGAAAGCACACGCAGTTAACGCAGTTAAGACTTCTTTTTTTTATGGCTCTTAGGTACCATTCAGGAGTGTGATCATCTTATAGAACAATCTTATATGAGATAAGATAGTCAAGAGTTTGCTGTTGTTGGGTCGGGAAGGGGCCAAATCGGGACAAAAACAGCCCCATTATTTTTATAAGTGTGCTTGGCCTGAAAGACAAATTCAGTTACGTCGCCACTTCGGAACTCCGTTGTCAAGCGACGACGGCCTGTATGCTTGGTGGAAATGCCGATGGAAGGATCACCTGTATTTTCTTGGAGGAAAGCACTTCTAAACATTCCTGTCATCAAACACGATTCTTTATCGACCAATGAACAGACTGCAATCATTAGCAATTCTACCACTGCCATTTGTAAAAAACCAGTATGACTATGTCAGCAGCCTACCAACCAAATTCCGCACCAACTGGCCCGCTTTTGGAGAAACGCTGCTAACAAGGTCCTGATGGCTTCATAATATCCCTAAATGACTCCTTCAACAGCAAACGTCTTCACCTTGATCCCCGTGAGAATACTCTGGCTTCTATTTTCAGTCACTGTGTGTTCGACTGTGCCGCCAGTCAAAATGGGGCAGATACTCTCTCGCTCTCTCTCCGTCTCTCTCCCTCTGTCTTTTTAATCTTTCTTTGCCTGCTGCTGGCCACTAATTGCCATCTTTGATTCGTTTGCGTCAAAAACCCAAAGTTGCGATTCAAACTGACCTCCTAAATGTCATTTGAAGAGCTCCCTCGCTGCTAATCTGATCCGGCACCATATCATGACAGTAACAAGCCATTTCTCTTTTTGCCTGCGGGCAGCATCCTGTTTGCAGACATCGTTGGCTTCACCAGCTTGGCCTCCCAGTGCACCGCCCAGGAACTGGTTAAACTCCTGAACGAGCTTTTTGGAAAGTTTGACGAGCTTGCTACGGTGAGTCTGTTTGTGTTACCGCTCATTTTGAATGGCGGTGTGTATGGCTGTTTATTTGTCACACACAGTTGAAGTTTACTGTAAAACTGACACGACGCAAAGAATACTTCAACATTGTACATTTAAGCCCCAAAATGTTCACCCAAAGACTGACAGTTTTCTCTATGGAGATTAATGCTAACACATATGCGAAAAGGCATCTATGGGCTCAGGGACATTAGCAGCAATGTTTTGCTAATGATAAACCTTTAAGTAGCTGGTACTTAACAGACACATCGCAATGACACACAGAAACAGAGCATGTAACTATATACGCAGGCATATACAGTAAATATTCCCACCTACGGAATTTCCCTCACCCAGAATAAAAACCGATACATTAAAATTTCGACTACGATATTACATTAACGATCGATTCATAACAACGGAAGTTCCGGTATCCGGAACCCGAAAGCCATACGGAAGCCCGCAGTGGCACAAACTCAAGTCCCACTCAATATTACAGAACAGTAGTTCTTAACCTTGTTAGAGGTATGGAAACCAACCAGTTCAAATGCACATTCACCGACCTTGGGTCGGTAATCGTTGCCTCCATGGCGATAAACAAGCTACTCTTCTGACAAAAAAATGGAAGGGATCAGGAGGAAAGATGGAGAAGTCATGCTAATTGCTAAGATAACTTAAAACTGACATGTAAGATCGGAATTAAGTGCTTGGGTGATCGAGTACACTTTTTACAGAAGTCTATCAAGAGCCACTTTAAATCATATACAACTTCGAACAGGAAAAGTAGCAGGCAATTTAATTGTCTTAGTTTTATTGTTGAATAAAACCCTTGCTTTAGGTTCCTTGGATTAACCGGGGGAAGAAAAATTGCTTCTCAAAATTTGAAATTTGCTCCTCAAATGAAATCATAGGTTAGCAAAACAGCTCCACTAAGAAAAACAAAACGAGCCCCGAAATTGCATTGCTCAAATGCCATTTCCTATTCTATGGTTATCATCACGTTTCACATAACAAAAATCACACAAAAAAGCCAAAGGAGCACTTGTGGAGATAATCCTTTGTTTGATTTTAGAAGCATATTTTCCTTAGTGGAAGTCTATACCACTCCTTAAATCATTCCTATTATATTTTTTGCATATTGCATATTTAGCAGGGCCCCTGGAGGATTTTCTCAAAGGTGAAATGACCCCTGACAGGAAAACACTTCCCCTCCCCTTGTCTACCATGAGTTCCATGCTCTTGGCTGTCAGCTCAGCGTGGTGTCACAGACAATACTGGAAGCCCTTATGATGTGTAATGTGATTACTGAGAGCTTCATTTGAGGAAGACGCTAATGTAGTCCGGATTCGCCCCGGGCTGAATTTTTCCTCCACGCGGGCTGTGCGAAATGACTGACTGGAGTTCCATTTGCAGCTCCTCCACTTTTGTAAATAGTTCACTGAAAAAAAATGCATTCGCGCAAAGTGGCTGCTTCATTTTGTTTCCGGTTTGAAGTCAGACCACAAAATATGTCCGACTCAGTGTGTAATTTGACTTTAGCTTGGCTGAGTTCTATTTTTAACTTGCTTGTTTACATGCATCAATGGCAATGACTAAGGCTTGATTTACACTGTTTGCTTCAAGTGACACAATTCAGATTATTTTTCTTTCAAGTGACCCAATTGGGATATGCGTCACATGGCAACACATAAGAAAAAAAAATGGCAAACCCACTCAAGAGCCGGGAGAACATTACCACTCAATAAAGCAAAGACCGAAATCCTGAATCAAACCATCAAACTCAGAACTGGGAGGCAGATGTGTTTTCCACAAGCCCGCTGTACCGCTCACCTAAATCAGTGATTCTCAAGGAGGGCTCCCTCGAGTGGTACGTTTGGTTATATTTAACTTTTGGAATGGAGAAACAGTTTTTTTTAACTTTAAGTACAAATTTAGTTTGTTTTGTGTGTACTGATTTTCATTGGATCATTATTTAAGTACACAGTTTTTACAAAAAGTTGGGTGAACTCAAAATTTCGAATCGCTGAGGCAAACAATTTGCTTGCGTTGTTGTGTTAATCAACATTGTTGTCATAAATGTCAAGAATTGATATTTTATTGTTCCAACGCACTGTTTTAGCCCTCCCCAAAGTACAAGTTCTGTTTTTTTTACAGTGTATTTCCCCCTCAAAAAAACTATTCTGCGACTGCGTTTTCATTTGCTCACGATGGTTGTACTTGCAGAGCTTAGTATCTTTTTTAAGTAGTACTTTGATATTAGAATAATAATAAATATTTGCATCCCATTCTATTAGTAACAGACAGTCCAAGGTTAGCAGAAATTATTTTCATGTTTTATATCCATTTTGGGGGCGGCCCGGTGAGCCAGTGGTTAGCGCATCGACCTCACAGTGCAGAGGTACCGGGTTCGATTCCAGCTCCGGCTTCCCTGTGTGGAGTTTGGATGTTCTCCCCGTGCCCGCGTGGGTTTTCCCCAGGTACTCCGATGTCCTCCCACATTCCAAAAACATGCACGGCAGGCTGATTGAACACTCCAAATTGTCCCTAGCTGAGAGTGTGTGTGTGGATGGTTGTTCGTCTGTGTGTGCCCTGCGATTGGCTACCAACCGGTTCAGGGTGTCCCCCACCTACTGCCCGAAGACAGTCGAACACCCTCTGCCACCCTTGTGAGGATAAGCAGATCAAAAAATGGATGGATATCCATTTTGGTGCAACCAGCTTTTTCCAGGTTTATATTTCTGAGATTGTTGACGTTAAGTGATGGCTTGCAACTTATCAACCAATGTCGTAGCCTAACCCCGACCTAAAGCGCTCCTTCACTCTGATCCATTTAGGCACGAATTGGCGACTCGCAGTGACTCATCATAGCAGTGGTTACTTTTCTTCTTTTTCCTCTTCTCTCTTTCTTTTTTTTCCTTACAAAGAACGGGTGATAGCACATGGCCACTGGGCGTCATCTCGTAATAGCATTCCAGCACCATCCCCACACCACCTGTCCACTCTCTGGACCAGTCAAGCTGCATGGGATGTGCGCCAGGAACACAAAGTCCTCCTAAGTAGCGCTTCATAATGCACACCAGTCACTTGGTTGTTCCTCAAGTATCTCCACCTTGTAACAATAATATTTCTTTGCTTTTTGGATAAAAAGAAAAATTGCGGGGCTACACTGTGCCCTAGTGGTGAGCAAATCTGCATCACAGTTCTGAGTTTTGGTGTTCGAATTTCCGCTGCGGCCTTTCTGTGTGGAATTTTTACACTGTTCTCCCGGTACTCTGACTCCCGTGTCATAAAAACATGCAATGTTAGCTTCATTGAAGACTCTAAATTGCCCCTACCCTAATAATGAGTACATTGTACAATAGTAAATGCCTCCCTTTTCCCCATCAAGGAAAAAAAATGAATACTAAGTAATTATCTCTGTCCATAGATAATATTGTTCACATGGATCAACATATGTATTTTATCCATCCATCCATTTTCTAATCCGCTTATTCTCGTGAGGGTCGCGGGGATGCTGTTGCCGATTCCAACTGTCTTCGGGCAGTCGGCGGAGTTTATGTATTTTAAATTTAAAATTAAAATACGTTAGCAGATGTCTTTCAAAAAGATCAAAAGAATCAAGTATTCAAGATCACTCTACACACCCTACATTTGCTTATTTTAAAGTTGGGTACAAAAAGGATGGAGCACATTACACTATGTTTGACTTTAATAGCTGATAGTTGATTGGAACGAATCAGCATTTTACTGATACATGTATATACAGTATATTTATACACGGACAGTGTCACGCTTATAACACAACTGCCCATCTCGTTTTTTGTCTTTCGTCCTATGGAGAGTCATTTCCTGCAAAAATCTGATCATAAATTGAGTTAGGCACTTATGTGCTTCTTTTTTCCTTGTAATTTCAAATAATTACTGGTAATTTTAAGTACTACAGTACCTTTTTTGCTAAAAAAATACAACTTTGTTGTCTCCAGATTAGCACGTTTTAATGAAAAAAAAAATCTTTCCAGTGATGTGGTAATGCGTTTGAAAGTAACGCGTCACTGTAATATCTCAACTTTTACAGTAGCAACGAAACTAAACGTGTTGTTTTTCTCGGTGAAGCAATCTGACGACAGTTACTTACTTGTACTGTACTTCCTATGATGTAGTGGCAAAACTGGTTGGCAATTTTATGTTAAGCGAGGTAGTCGGCCTCTGTTCAATTTAACTAATGAACTAACTCGTAATCTAATTGAGTTACTTTTAAAATCTGGTAATCAGGAACATAACTAAAGTAGTTTTAAAGTCAAGTATTCAGTATCGTAACTGAGTTACTTTATAAAGGTAACTGGGACAACTGTGTATAATATTACAGCTTTCTTTCCCCCCCGAAAAAAACCTCTCCAACTTTAAGAAAATATTTCTAAATAGTCATGCCTGGCAATATGACTTCTTCTTAAAAACAAACAAACAAAAAAAAACTCATTCATGCAAGATGATGATTAACTTCTCAAAAATACATATTTTTCTCATCGTCATTTTTTTTCAGGAATAGATTGTAGCTCAAAAATTATCCATTTTCAAGCATCACTGCAATTCCTTGTCTGATTAACTCAACCAATGTTATTGTTTCAGAGCTTTAGCCCCTGTTAAAAGCCAACTTGGTCTTCTTGTCCCACGGGAAAAGAATACATCAAAATTGGGTTTCCAGGAATCCCACTCACACTGATAAGTGTCGGCACTTTGATTCCCACCACCCACTAGAACGCAAGCTGTGAGTAATTATAACTCTTCAGCGCCGTCGCCAGAATCTGCTGACTGCTGCTGAGACGCAAGATTAGCGCCGTTAACACCTTGAAAAAGCATCGGGACCTTGCCACTCCCCCCCCCCCCACCAGAAAAACAGAGATTGTTGTGAACTAAACCCCAAATTTGCCGCAACGCGTGACATCTCAAGTTCTGCTGATGTACATCAGATTGATGGCAAATGTTCACTGGACAGCTACGAGATGGTGGTTCATTTCCAAGCATGCAAATTGACACGCCAACTGGTCTCCTCACTCGATAAACACTTCCTCTCCTTGGCTGAGTCTCCAGCAGGCTGTCCAGCACCCTAAACAACAGTTTCTGTGGTGAGAGGCATGCTCATTGCAGCGCTCTGCAACATTTAGAGCACTGGCTACCGTCTTTTAAAAAAAAAAAAAAAAAAAAATGGCTGTGAAATTTACAATGAAATGCTGTCTTGTCCTGTAAATTCCTTCACCATATACAACATTTTCAAGTACAAATATGTGAATCATAATTTTCTGAAGGATTTACAGATGACTGTAGTTTGTACATTGTAAAATTGTCATGGGAAAAACAATACAACCTAGTGAATATAAGGGCTAATATAACATCACATTTCATTTTCAAATCCACCAAAATCACGTGACACCACCTGCGCCACAACTTAGACCTGGTTTCATCTGGTCTAAAATATCATGTACTTTCTGTCACCAAATTGTCAGAGATTGTCGTATCTTTTCTCAGTCGTGCTTCTTAGATATATCAGATTCACGACATCAAATGGCATCAGCCATCAGTGACAACCGATCGCTCTGATTGGCTGTGAGCCAGCCAACGAGACAAAAAACAGAAATGACAATCGCAAACAAATGGAAATGGAATTTACTTTGACTCCTCTTGCTAAATTTTGCTCTTTTCTTTGCTTGGATTTATTTCCTCCCGCATCTATGTGTATAGGTGCAGGTCCATTTTTGTCCTGTGCTTCATTTCGTCTTTCCCGTTTTTTTTTTCTCTCCTGTCAAAACACCTCCGTGCATCACCACCGCTTCCAGACTCCTCCGCTCCTTAGTTTCTCAGCTTCTTGATTGACACGCAGCAGCCTACTTCCCTCAACGCCGTCTGTTATGCCCCGTGGTTCTCTCGGCGCTCAGTCTCACGCTTCCATTTTTAGATGGCTCAATGATTTATCCATCGACGGTCTTCTTGCTCTTTGAATGGGGCAAAGTCCTCTTATCGTTCATGCTGTAACAGCCTCAGAAATTCCCTTGGTTGTTGCATGTGGTTTCATAATGACAGAGCAGTGGGGCAAAGATGTAATTACTTTTAGCTTTAAAAAAAAAAAAAAAAAAAAAAAAAGAAATAATGAAGACAAACGTTTTCCAAACAAAAACAAACAAAAAACGTCACAAGAAATAATATTTGGCCTACAGGAATGAAAGTTGTATTTTTCAGGAAAAAAGTTTACAAGAATTACAAGTTGGAATTCTCTGGAAGAAAAAAAATAGATAAAGAAAGTCATAATTTCACGTCGGTGGCTCGGTATTCCAGTGTGTCAACCTCACAGTGCAGAGGTCATGGGTTCGATCCCAGCTCAAGCCTTCCTGTGTGGAGATGGCATGTTTTCCCCATGCCTGTGTGGGTTTTCTCCGGGTACTCCGGTTTCCTCCCACATTCCAAAAACATGCATGGAAGGCTGATTAAACAGTCAAAAATTGTCCCTTGGTGAGAGCGTGAGTGTGGATGGTTGTTCGTCTCTGTGTGCCCTGCGATTGGCTGCCAACCGGTTCAGGGTGTCCCTGAAGACCGCTGGGATAGGCTCCAGTTGTGGATGTCCAATTGTCAGGCTCTATTATGCATTATCCACAAGTGGAGATCTTTGTTCAGTTCTTTACAAATGTACCGGTAATTGTAATCTCATGTGAATAAAGTTTGTTCCTGAGAATGTTATATGTGGCTGTAATGTCACAAAAATGTAAAAAAAATAAAATAAAAATGTGAGAGAAAAACGGTTACATTTGTCATGTTACAAGAAACAAAATCATATTTTTCAAGCAAAGTAGGTGGCGAAAAAACACATAATCGTTGATGGTCCTCATCGTAAAGCATGTGCATACGCTTGTCCTCAATCAATCGAACTACACCTGTCCTGTCCCCCCAATGCAACTCCCCCTCCTCGCTGAAATCTGCCGTGTAAACACAACCAGTTGCCCTTGTGGGTTTTGCCTCCCGAGCAGATGCGAGGATCACCGTTAAGTCCCGTCGTTCTAATAGGACGATGGTGGGCTTGCTGCTCGAAGCTGTGCTGATCAGAGCTCTGCTCAAACCAAACAAGCCAATTTTAGACTTTAACAGCATGTGCACCCCCCCCCCTCACCCCCTGGCCGTTCCTGAATGTCCAACGTAAACATAATTTCATTTACACTGAATGAATTTGTCATTGAGTTTTGAAATCTGAAGCAAGTTGTGCCACAAATGAGCCACTGCTCACCCCGCAGCCCTGCATACCTAACAATGGCTTTTGTTGACATGATGACGAGTGGTGGCGCAAGAGGCTGGCAAGGAGTGTGAACTCCGATGTGTTTGTAAGACAACAAAAGCTTTTTTGATTGCATTTTCACTCGTGGAGGCAGCACTTCATCACTAAGCCTCTGATTTGCTGATCCATGGATGTGACGCATACAGCTGACACATCAGCAACAAACGCAAATACCGCCCACTGCCCACATTGATGACCTTACTGGTTATCAGATGGTAATGCTGTTAGTGAATGCTATTCTGTGCTAGCTTTGCAGCTCTGGTTACCATTTGGCTTCATGATCACTTTAGAAATGTCTGATCTTCTGTCAGGCTAGCTTCCTAGTCAGAGGTGGACAACTCATTGAGGTGGTGGAGGGCGGTTGGGGGATTGTTATAAAAACAATTACAATTAAAAAATGTTTTTGGTGTGCATAAAATTTGGAGATCTCCAATGATCTTAATTTTTTTGTATTTATTGTACTTGATCTATTTTTTTCAATATGCTTTTCATAGGATATTTTATTATTATTATTATTTTTAAATCATAAACTGCTAATCAGGTCCTTCAATGATATGTCAAGCCAAGTGGCCCAGACCCAAGGAAGGGCGAAGGCTACAATTTCAATTCATGTGCGGGATCATCAAAATAATAGCACAGGATGCATGTTACTGCACAGATGCATTTTCCACTTGTGTTGATGTCTGCTTAACAAATTTAGCCGACGGAAGGCCCCACTTGCTTTAATCACATTCAGGAAATTGACATGTAAATCAAACGACAGCGACGGCCAAAGACTCAGTTCTCTCCTCGGGCGCTTTTAGGTCTAAACTTGGAGGATGTGTGGATTTCGAACAAATAACAACATATCCTCGTGTCTCATAGCACTGCCGCTGCTGTCATCTTCTCATATTTGTGTGCGTGTGTGCGTGTGTGCGTGTGTGCGTGTGTGTGTGTGTGTGTGTGTGTGTGTGTGTGTGTGTGTGTGTGTGTGTGTGCGCGTGCGTGCGTGCTTTATTTTACAGCTTGTTTGCCTCTTGCTTTGTGTCATCCTCTTTGTTGGGACCCACTGAAGGGTGTACTCATTTGAAACCATATGCATATGGATCGAGTTTGTGTGTGTGTGTGTGTGTGTGTGTGTGTGTGTGTGTGTGTGAGGCCACCACAGGTTGTACGGCCACATCACACCTGTTCCATTATGATTGTGATAATTAATTTCAATTGATGGAGAAAAAAAAAAGAGCAAATCTACGTGTCTTCTTCACGTCTTTACCGCACAGTCCCCCTCCCGTGGGTCACGTGACGTGCGGTAATCTCGCCCGGGTTCTCAATCAACTGCTAAAGCCACAGTGCAGATTAGCACAGGAAAAGTACAGAGTGGCAGACTTTAAGCACCGGGTCTTTCCCCCCGCTCGCCGCAGCCTCGCCTCGTTGCCATAGCGCCATCTGTTACTGATCCACCACCTGACCCGAGCTCGCCCAAAGAGGCCCGATTGGCCACCGACAGCACAATACAATCTTTTTTGAAAACAACTTATCTTTACATATCTAATGTATTAGAAACTGCATTGTCTGGAACACCAAACATGGGCATCAAGGCAAAGTGCTTCGTGTCACTAGAGTGTTGTTGTTACGCTTCTCAACAGTAAATATTCTCCTGTTTCTGTCGCCTTCCATGAAAAAAAAATGATGACACTGGTCAACAGCAAATGTTAATTTTTTTTTAAGCATTTGAATGCACCCTGTAACCTGATAACATGACAAGTTGTCCACTGTAGTAACCGCTGTCCCTGAAAGGGTTTATCAATGTCAAAGAAAATATCTTAAAGGACATAAAGCCGTCTCTGGTTACAATTTGCTGTTGACAAATGGAATTGTGAGTTGCAGCCCGACTATTACCAGTATCGCTCGCAGCTTTCAGTTTCTGAAGGCTAATTTAGACACACAAGAAAAGTTAGCTGCTATGCGTGACGCACGATGCTTACGTGAAACAAGAAGAAACTGAAACGTCTACATCGACACCAAGCAAATTTTGTGCTTGGCCTTCAGCAATATTTCTTCTTTGTAAATGTGATTGTTTGTTCACGAGGTCATTTGTGCCTTTTCGTTGTCCTTTGTAAACATCCGCAAAATCTGCGAGCCTTGCAGCTAGCAACAGCAGCAACATGCAAACATGCAGATTGCCCTTCGCCGCAACACAGGGCGGCTGGCATGTTAAAAATAGCCCGTCCGTCTTCCTCGCCGTGCGTCCGCGCTGCCGCCAATGTGCATAATTATGAGTCTTTGTTGCTCTTCGCATGCACGGCCAGTGATCCCATTACCTCCATGGAGACAATGAAGGGGTTGTGAGCGACGGCGTCAATGGTAACCCGATTCCCCTGGCTCATACGCTCCGATAATGGCGCTTTGTATTCTGTTTTCTTGCTTACTGCCAGTGAGCCATGGAGGGACCAACTCTTCACATCGCCTCCATATGTCAGAACCAAATATGCGTGGCTCATTTGCATAATTTGACATGCTTTAAGCAGTTCGGGGTGACTGTGATGTAGGATCAAATCTTCCCCAGCCTCATTTGACCTTGCTTGGCATTGATCATGCATGATTATACGCCACATATATGCTGTTATTGTCCCAATGACAGTGTGTATTTGTCATGCGCGTGTTGCTAGGAGAACCACTGTCGCCGCATCAAGATCCTGGGTGATTGCTACTACTGCGTGTCTGGCCTGACGCAGCCCAAGACGGACCACGCCCACTGCTGCGTGGAGATGGGACTGGACATGATTGACACCATAACGTGAGTGATCTGACGTTCCAGCTGTCCACTGTGCTGCCATTGTGAACGGTCAGGATACAAAAAACACTAAAATGCCATTTTATGTCGCTTTACAATCGATTTTGCTCGCCAGAGGCTGAGCTGCACTGAGTTTGTTTACAGACTAGTCATGTGACTTGAGCACACTTGAGTTCCATTTCTCGTCCATTACTTAGGTTATATACGGAACAGAAGTTTAAATGCAACACTTTTGGTTTTTTTTTTTTTTTTGCTCCCATCGGGGTGATAATAATTTGGGATTTCTCTTGTTTGCAAGAAATAAAATTATGTGGATCCAGTTACATGTTTTCAGTAGACTCTACATCTACTCTATGTATCTGGATCCAGATGATTTTATTTCATGTACCGGTAAATTTAATTTTGAGTAAATTCAAAACAAATGTTTTCCTTTATTGGGGAGTGCTGGATGTTCTCCTCTCGTTTTTGTGAAATGTGGTTTGATAAATGTGTTCAGTACTGGTGTATCAATCCATTTCATGACAATTGCCCAGTGGGATACATTGGCTTTGTCTATACGCATACATTTATAATGTCTCTTGTCAGATTGCGTTCCATAAAATATAATCCTTGGAGTTTCTAATTGGATATCCTCCACAGCGAGCTTGAGGGACAGAGAAAGATCATTCCTAATTTGATACGTTCATGACTTGATTTAAGTTTGACTATGAAGATTGTGACATTGCTTAAAGTTGCTGCGATCCTCTTTGGTCACCTTTATTTTGGGATTGAAGAGCAAATTAGAGCACATTTGAAGAAATGTAATCCTTGCGCAGCTCTGCAAATGTTCCTTTTTATACTTAGAAAGAAGAGAAAATCCATATTGGTGATGTTATACTGTTCAAGGTTAAATAGTTTAAGAGCATTTAGTGGACACGTTTGCTGCAGGTATGCTTTAGTTTCCAATCAGCCATTTCCTATCGTGCTTGTATTAATTTAGTGTCGTGAATTAGATGAAGCCCCTAGTTTTTGCTGGAGATTAGTGAATCTCAACTCAGTCCAATTTAAAATAACTGTGCAGTTTAAGACCCAAATTCGAGACTGTTGGTTAGGAGCCAGGGCGCCCAAGTCAGCAGGATGGGGTGTACAAGGGCCACTGGGACCAAAAACCATCACTTCTGTTTTCTTTTCATTGAAATTTCATTAAATCAATGCCATTCAGGTCTTGATTTCCTCCAGACAGAGTAAAAGTGGCCTCAATGAGAAAGCATCTTTTCTGCTCAGCAGAACATAGATCTGACAGCCATCCACATAGCAGTGGAAGGAAATCCTCTCCCATCCTGCTTTTTATGCCAACAGAAAGCAAAAATGGATTGTTTACTGGAAATGCAGAGGGATTGGTATACTGTAAAACTGTGCAATATTTTTGTTTGATTGCTCTTTTTCTCAATATGTCAATATATCGTTTTAAATATATTTGTGTTGTTTGAAAAGTGTGTTTCAAGACCAGAGAACAATAATACCTATGAAGTATTTAAATTGGGTATTTCTATCTCACCAATTTCACTTATTGCAGATATAACTGCCACGATGGATGGGGGTTTGCTGTAATGCAAAATATGTTTGTCCACTATATTGCAATGCATTTCTGGATGTGTCATCATGTTAATAACATTTGTTGCTGGTACTCTCAGGTCAGTGGCAGAGGCCACGGAAGTCAACCTGAACATGCGTGTGGGCCTGCACACGGGCCGGGTGCTGTGTGGGGTGCTGGGCCTCAGGAAGTGGCAGTATGACGTGTGGTCCAACGACGTCACTCTCGCCAACGTGATGGAGGCCGGTGGACTGCCTGGGTCAGTATTGGGCAAAAGACTGACATTGACACCAATCAGATCTGTGAATGCTGAGAGACAAGCGTGAAACGAGTCAATAAAAAAAAAAAAAATTAATACCTGGATATCACTGCCTTATTACACTTTTATTTTGAAGTAGTTTCCTACTGGTGGTGTCGCTGCTGACTTGATTCATCTTTCCGACTGTAGTTTGGGCCAGCTTATAGTGCTGTCACAAACTGGTGCCACCATGATCAACACATCATCCTGAAATCATGTTCAAAAGCTAATTTCGGAAGCTAGAAAAAAACTCTACTATCAGGGACAACCATTCATATTACCATGAGTAATAATAATGCCAATCGGTATAAACAAAAAAATCTGTCAAACTGTGAATACTGAGACACCAGCATTCACACTGGCACTATCTGCATGACAAAATAATTATTGAGGGCAGTGTGTGAGAGAAAAATATTCACTTACATGCTACTGCTCATCAAAAAAATGGAGCATGAAGTCTGAGAGACAAACATTCACACAAATGCATTTGGGCTCCATTTTTTTTAACTGTTGCATGCCAAGAGAAAGCAAGGCAATTGGGCCCAAAAAATACTGTCTGTGAGAATGCCGAAAGAAATTTATTCACACTGATGTTATTGTGAATCAAACACTGTCACATGATAGCTGTGAGACAATTATTACGCAAATGCATTTCCACTCCAGTTTTATTTACCTTTGAATGCTGAGAGAAGGCAAATCACGCTGATACTATTGCGTGTTGAATCAAATGCGTGTGGGGGATGCGTAGAGATGAGCATTTCGACTCCAAAAATGTTATTGTGAAGGCTCGACAAAAATAAATCATACATATTAAATACTGTGAGGCAGATATCTGTAAAACAAAAAAAAGGAGAAATTTTTTTGTGAATGCTTAGCGACAAGCATTTACACTTTTTCATGCTATCTTGCCAACTTCCTAATTTCTTTTTGGCTACCTTCCACAGGAAGGTCCACATCACCAGATCCACACTAGAGTGCCTAAATGGAGACTACGAGGTGGAGCCGGGAAACGGTCACGAGCGTAACGTCTTTCTCCAAAAACACCAGATCGAAACTTTCTTTATCGTGCCATCTCACCGACGCAAGGTACGCCATTTTCCATTTCCTATCTGTCATGTGGTCTTCATGTCCAGGCCCTGAAGGGGGGGAAATGACTACTGCCACACTTTCAGTTGTGTTCTTTATGAGGCCGTGGCCCTAAGTGAACCCTTAATACATTCGAGGGTGTACTGTGCAGAGATAATCCACAAGGAAAGTCAGATAAGGCTCAATTGAAGTAGGAGGCTTATCCTTTGGTTGCTTCTCCTGCACTAAAATCTCACAGGAAGAGAAAAAAAAAGTACCCCGAGTGTAGTGTAAAGCATCAAGCGTGATCTAATGGAGCTCTCACACATTTGATGTGCAGATTATGTCACTTCCAGCCTCTAATGAACTCAACTAGGTGGGGGAAGGGCAGGACAGGGGGTCGGGGGGGTGGGCGTCTTTCATCATAGATTTGCAGAGTTGAGCATGCATACAGATGCGCGCGTGTGGCAAACACGTCAACAAGCAGCTCTCTTCTCACATGTTCTGCTGCTCCTCTCGTGGCGGAAATATAAAGCGCTATCTCTGCAAGTCTCCCGTGGAAAAAAAACGATTCAAGTACTCGAGTGCTAAAAATCATAGTAAAAATTACTCTTCTTAGTGGTATTCTTAGATTGTAACGATTTAAGTGCAGTGTGTGAAGACTGAAGGTTAAGACAGTTCTGTTTGGATACTACACTCATTGACCCCCCCCCCCCCAAAAAAAAATTTAGAATTTTTTTGTAGATGCCTCAATATGGTGCCATCTTGTGGCATGTTGGAGCCAAGAAACTATGCTGAAGTGAGTTCATGTGGACCAAAGTAGTGGTTTGGTGACATCATGTTGAAGGGAGTTGAGAAGCTTTACTTAAACAAAAGTACTACTTAGCTGCTGTTCCGTGGCATATTGGGACCAAGAAACTATATTGAAGCAAGTTGAGGAAATAAATGTAGACAAAATTAATGCTCTACTGCCATCTTCTGGTATCTTGGTGCCGACAAACTACGTTGAAGTGAGTTGAGGAACTTTATTTACTCAAAAAAGGTGTTTTGCTGCCATTTTCCGGCATTTTGGTGCCACGGAACGATGTTGAAGTCAGTTGAGGAAGTGCTCTACTGCCATCTTGTGACATCTATTCTCTATTGCTGATAGATTTTTGCTCTTTACGTCAGGCCTCAATCCTTATCCCGTATGACGAGGCGGTGGAATACTGTTTTCGTCTTCTCACCAAAATGTGAGAGAAAGCTATTAGCATTTGGCAAAGTAATTCGACTCTACTGCAAACTGCATCCACGTGAGGATAAGTGGATCAGATGATGGATGGACGGATGGATGGATGAATGGATGGATGTTTACCATCAACTTTCAGTTGATTTTATGGTTAGATTTTGCAGTAAAATAAAGACATGAAACTGCACTGCTCTCTTTTTGTGAACTGTATCTTATATGCGAAAAATAAAATATTGAAATAAAGCGGTGCAGTATTTAAACCCAGTAAAACAAATATATACTGTATGTCTTATTGATTTTTGGATGACACGGTTGCCCATTTTTATACTCTTGGAACCCTTGTTACATATCACAATATATATCATAAAATGCATACAACATGTTTTAGTCAATCTGCTCTGTAAAATGAATTAATCCCACGATATATATATATATACAATACAATACAATACATGCTGATTTATATAGCGCTTTCACAACAGCGGCAGCTGTAACAAAGCGCTTAACAAAACAGTTAACATAAAGTAAAGCCATGGAGCTTTTTTTAATATATATATATATATATATACAGTATATCAAAACTAAATGAAGTACATTATATTGTAACCTTGCATTGAGCTCAATGACTCAGCTCAGACGTGCTGAAACTGTGGGATTGACCCACATTGTCTCTGTGGTTCAGTTCCTAATCCTGCTAGTAATGACTACATGATAATGTGAACACACACACACACACACACACACACACACACACACACACATGCACGCAAACACACACACACACACACACACACACACACACACACACACGCACACACACCTTAAATAATACACCTATTCCAGTCCCCGTCGATCATGACTGACTTTTTCAAATCCTCCTTGCCGTCTCGCACAGATCTTCCCAGGATTGATTCTGTCGGATATCAAGCCGGCCAAAAAGATGAAGTTCAAGACGGTGTGCTACTTGCTGGTGCAACTCATGCACTGCCGAAAGATGTTCAAGGCTGAGATCCCCTTCTCTAATGTCATGAACTGTGAGGATGGTGATAAGGTAACCACTCCCACTGTGCTTATATTTGTTTTTGTTTGGGTTTTTTTTTTGGGTGGGTTGTGTAACTAGACCTTATGCGGCTGTTTATATGTTCATATGTGGGCGAATATTTTTCATCCCAAAAATTCCCCATTCATTGCCAATCAGGCTTAGTTTCCAGCAAAGGTTATCATCGTTCATTCCAATGGCACATTCAACATTACGCATTTTACAGCTTTCCCATTTGACATTTAAATCATTCAACTCATTCAGTTCATCTTGATAACGATTTTCAACTTGACAACAATTCCCACTGACCACAAATTCAACCTTTTCACCATTACAGTAACCACCAAAAAAAAAAATCCTATTTACTGTATTCCCAATGAACACTTCCAACAAAACAAAATTCACATGTTCCCTTTTTAAAATTCAAAGTGTTCAGCTCATTAAATTCGCGTGCCAAAAAATCGGATTTAACAAAAATTCAACAATTTCCCAAATGAAGTTACCACAAAAAAAGTCTCTATTCATTCTCACTGACACATTCGACAAAAACAGATTCATCTTTCCCATTGCAAATTCTGAATGTTCAGCTCATTCAATTCACCTTGGAAATGATTTTCAACATGCTAAAATTTCCGGGCCCCATCAAAAATTCCCCACTCATTCCCAATGACATTTTTTTTAACTCGAATTATTTTCAATACCATGTCACATCACTCCTTTTTTTTAACTCGAATTATTTTCAATACCATGTCACATCACTCCATATTTTTCAATATAATTCTACAAATCATTCCACCTAACAATAGTTATTCATTCAGCGTTTCAGCCTTTTTGTGCAATTTCCCTAGAAATTGCAAATTACATTGTTCTTGCTTTATTTGTTTATTTTGTTTAGCTTATCTGAAATGGCCCAAGTCTCGCCGAACGTTGCCCACGAGCAGAAAAGTTTGATCACCCCCGTTCGAGATGAAGGAACAAAAAAATGTATACAAAGTGTTGCTATTTATGTGGACTGTACACTACTGTATGAGTGCAGACAAAATAAAATCAAAACAGAGGCGCTCTGTTGATGCTCCAGTGCCTACTATTTTGCACCTCTCCTCATTGTGGCTGCCAAAGACACTTAGTCTCAGCAGGGTGCATCCACTAATGAAGTTAAATGTGACGGCAGCGGTTTCATTTGAAAGTATAATCAGCGGCCCGGTCGTATTGTTGACGTTTTTTTCCAGCACAATAACCCTTCCCAAGTGCAGCCGTTACGACCTCTCCTTCTTTTTCTTTATTTTCTTCTTTTCTCTTCAATCCCCCCACCCCCCCCCGCACACACACACACCTTCACACACACATACACACACAGCGGAGGGCCATGAGGACAGCACCGCAAAAGCTGAGAAACCGGCCCAACGCTCACCAGGCCAACGTGGTCCAGAACAGCCCCAGAACGCGGGTCAACCGTTACATCGGGCGGCTGATCGAGGCCCGGCAGACCGAGTCGGACACGGCCGACCTCAATTTCCTCACGCTCATGTACAAGTGCTCGGAACGCGAGCAGAGGGTGAGCCACGCTCTAGAAAAAACAGCAAATGGCACAGTTCGGTTTAGAACATCACTTCTAAACGGAAGTGACTAAAACATGAGTGTTTTAGTCTTTTCTGCCTTTTTAGGCAGCGTTACGGAAAGTACGTCCAAATCCGCCTGGCATTTATCTGCCTTTGACTCTCACTTTTCTTCTGTTCAAGATTATTGTAGATCATGAAAACCAACGAAATAACTAAAACTAAAATTGTAGAAACACTTTCGGAATGATCACTACTGCCCTCTCTCTGCTCTTTTTGGTCCGAAAAAGTACCATCAGATTCCGGATGAGTACTTCACCAGTGCTGTGGTTGTGTCTCTGATCCTCGCTGCTTTGTGTGGCCTCGTCTATCTTCTCATCATACCGCAGTATGAACTGTACTTACTCACACCACTACTGTGCATTATTTGTCGACTTCTTCTTACACTTTTTTTTTGGGGGGTGGGGGCGGTGGTTCAGGGGTACAGTGGTGCTGGTGCTGCTTGTCTTCTGCATCTGTTTCCTGGTCGCATGCATCATGTACCTGCATATCACAAGAGTACAGGTGCGTGCCGCTTGGTCACTTCCTTCTCTTTCACATTTTATCATCATCTTCTCAAAAAGAGTAGACAAGGCCTGCGTCATTCTATAAAATTCGAATTTATCAGTTCAGTTTGGAGTCGGTGTTTCCAAGGGGGGAACATGCAAGCTCCACAAAGGAGCCGGAATCGAACCCTGCACCTCTGCACTGTGAGGCTGGCCTGCTAACCAGTCGACCACAATCCCGCCTCCCTGATTATTACTGAGCAAAATCACTTACATGTACATGTAAATGTAAATTCTCTCATGCTTTTGTGAATCAGTGTTTTCCAGGATGCCTGACCATTCAGATTCGCACTGCTCTCTGCATTCTCATCGTGCTCTTTATCTACGCTGTGGCCCAGGCCTGTGTGGTAAGTCACGTGCAAATCGAGTTCATCGCATCATGAAGTGCATACCTTGAGTTTTGTTTGTACTCTATATAGGTGGGCTGCATGCCGTGGCTGTGGGGTCCCGCCAGCACCAACAGCTCCATCGTCATCATCGACACCGACAACGGCGCCAGCCGTACCATGGCCGAGATGCCCTGCGAGGGCGCCCACTACGCCTTCCTGTCATGCGCGGTGGGCACGCTCACCCTGGCGCTCTTCTTGCGCGTCTCCTGGCTGCCCAAGATGGCGCTGATGCTCCTGCTGGGAGTGCTCTATGTCACCGTGCTGGAGCTCAGCGGTTTTCGCAAGACCGCCGGGTGGGTGAGGCCCCGGGCTCAGTGGGGGGCGACATCAGACGGGCTGCTCGGCAATCATGCCAATGGGATGCTTGTCAGCGCCTTTGATTTTCCACGCTTTCCTCAAATGGAGGGTTAGACCGCACATTTCATTTGGGAAGCGTTACGTTTCTGTGACGCTGTGAGGGAAACAGATTAGCAGGAGTTTGGGGGCGGCTTTACAGTACATACGCTCTGATGTACAGCATGTGCGTGTGTGTGTGTGTGTGTGTGTGTGTGTGTGTGTGTGTGTGTGTTTCTCATTTTCCACCCTTTTCAAGCGCGTGCATTCCATTCTCACCATTTGAAGTGACAGTGGAATTCTTTTGATTTAGCCTGACTTCGGAACCCAAAGTAGGAGCACAGTGACCTACTGGTTAACACATTTGCGTCACAATTCTGTGGCTGTGGATTCAAATCTCATTTGTATGCTCTTCACATCCCAAAACACGTCTGTTTGGGTCATTCACGACTCAAAATTTTCCACAGATAGAGTGATTATGATTTGAGGAGTTTGAATGGAATTATTTAATGATGTGATGTGATTGGCTGGTGACCAAGTCAGGGTGTATCTCACCCAACCCATGATAGACAATCGATGGACGGCTGTATAGATATATTCTGCTTAAATTGGCTGTAATTTCTCAATGAAAAATACCCTAGTTTGTTGGGAATTTGACTGAAGCTAATCATGCATGATATTGAAACCAGAATCACAGTTCCTTGATACAGTAATATGCAAATACGCCCCCTAGAGGCCGTGATCTGCATAGACGAGAACATCAGAGCAATCTGATTGGACACATGGTAAATGGTCAGCTCATTGTTACATGCCCTTTATTTGTTTTTTTTTTTTCTCTAAATTCTTGTGTATCCCTAACCCATACCTAGGAGTGCTTTAGATGAGAAAAATAACATCGTAGCTCTCCTTTTTTTGGACACACATTATGTCATACACTAGTCAGGGAGCACGAAATTGCAATTTCTACAATTGATTAATTTTAGTTCAACATTCACACAACTTGGCAAATGTTGGACTGAAATCCACATTGTTGTATAACTTAACACGTGTTGGCTGTCGACTGTGTGGGGGATCGCCTCAAGCCTCCCGTGTAGTTTTTCTTGGGTGGTCCGGCCCCCCCGGTGCTGACTTTGTACCTTGGTCTCGTCCACAGTGGGGGGTCCTTCCACATCCGGGGCTATGAGCCCATCCTGTCTCTGTTGCTTTTCGTCAGTGCCCTCGCCCTCCACTCCAGGCAGCTTGACCTCAAACTGCGCTTGGACTTCCTCTGGGCTGTGCAGGTCAGCCAGCATGTCTTCATCACCATACAATGATGTGCTACATCACAAAAGTGGACTATTGATATACATAATACAATAATTATGTACATAGAAGCTGCCAGGTTTCTGTTCTTTGGCAATAAATGGGGTCAGTGGTATATTTTGGCTCCATTTAATTTGGAAAATTACTATTTTGCGTAGTGAGAAGCTGAAGTTGGCGAGAAACGATGTGAAAATTAAAATGGAAAGGTTTTACTGACCCCACCTGGTGAAAACGGGAAGGAATATTGTGGCGGTAGAGTTGGCTCCAAAATGTCACACTTTTCTACACTGACCGTATAGATTACATTTTCAACTGAAAAAAGTGAAAAAGAAAGTTGATGGTACAGGTGTTTGTTCAGAAGTAATCGTGGCCATTGACATAGACCAAATCCATTTTGAAATAAAACAGAGAGTATGATTCCTAAGGCAACCGTGTAGGCAGGAAGAGCCACAAACAAGGAAGAGTTCAAAATGTCCAAATGCGTATACGCCTGAAATTGCATTTTTGGTGGGTATATTGATCTAAATAGCGGGAAAATTGATACCAACTTTGGTTTTGATATTGAGCGATCACACTGAGACTTAAGTTTCTGTTTTTCTATCCTCTCTGCATTGTCCCTGTTTCATCAAATGTAGGCCAATATTTCATTCAGCTCAAAGCTTTTTAGTTACTTTATTTACATTTTCAATGAATACTTACATTTCTCTCTTCTAATTTCTGAAACGCGACCGCAAAAAAAAGTTTCGACAAAATTTGCTGTTTAACCTTGTGCACTTTTTTAAATTCAGAAATGACAATGGGGAAGTTTTGTTTAGTTGCTGTTGTATTTTCCTCAACAAAACCTTTTATGAGAATTAATACTCAAAGTATTTTCCCTTTACTTGATAACTTTGCCCAAACACTCCAAACTCCAGAAAATTGAGATTTAGCAGTGTGAAAATCCTTTAATTATCAAAAAAAAAAAAAAAAGGTGTGTGGGGGGGGGGCACCTATAAAGATAATAAAAGTTAACACTTCATACACTGTGTATGTGTTTGTATGTGCATTGTCAACTTGGCAGAGCAATCAAGCATGCGTCACCTATCCGAGGCTAACATTGTTAGCTAATGCTAATCACTGTGTGTACTTCCAACAAAACTCAGTGCAGCTCTGCGGTGTTTCTGCACCGTTGTGTTTCAGTGTAGTCCGGCCATAGCTTGAAAGTGGCTCTGGATAGCTTGAAAGTGGCTCTGGAGCCTTACCACAGCCGAGCGAACCTTGCCCTCATTGAAACGTGCCATCTAAGTTAGCATGAGTGCAGAAATACTTGCTCACAGATCACTTTTTAGAAACAAGCAGATCATAAAAGATTTACTAGGTGTTAGGAAATTCAGAGACCCATCCATTGGTATACAAGCCATTAAAAAAGTGCATTTTCCACAATATGTCCTCTTGAATTTCAAGCTGTATCCAGCTACGTGTGTCGCTAACCGTACGAGCGTTGCATGTCTGCTGACAGGCGGAGGAGGAAAGGGATGGCATGGAAAAAGTCAAACTGGACAACAGGCGGATCCTGTTCAATCTGTTGCCGGCACACGTGGCCCAACATTTCCTGCTGTCCAACCCCAGGAACATGGTGAGCCCAGCTCATAGACAAGCAGACACACACAAACAGGTAGACCATCACGAGACGTGGCAACAGAAGTCCTCACGGCTACACATCATTTCTTCTCTTTTTTTTTCTTCTTCTAGGACTTATACTACCAGTCGTATGCGCAAGTAGGCGTCCTGTTTGCCTCCATCCCAAACTTCAACGACTTCTACATCGAGTTGGATGGCAACAACATGGGAGTGGAATGCTTGAGACTGCTCAATGAGATCATTGCAGACTTTGATGAGGTTTCGTTATTTTACTTCTGACTCGTAGTATGAAAAGCCACACTTTTGGTGTGGATTTTAAATCTGAATGTGCATCTTCCAGCTCATGGATAAAGCGTGCTACAAAGATATTGAAAAGATCAAGACCATAGGCAGCACGTACATGGCAGCTGTGGGCCTCGTCCCAACTATTGGAACCAAGGTGAGACACAACCGCATGTGTGTGATATTTATGTCTCACCCCACCCTCAAAAAAAAAACAAACAAACAAAAAAACAAAAAAATTGTGTATTTACAAGAGACGTTCAGATCCATGCCTCTTTTTTCATTTTACGCAGCCATTTCGCGTATGCCAGCTGTGCCACTTGAGGGAAAAAATTTTTTACTTGAACCACTGACCGATGGGACCTCTTGTGGGCTAACCTACAAAACAAGCCATTATTTGGCTGAAATTAGCTGTCAAAGTAAACATCAAAGAGTTCTATTTCATCCTTACTGACTGCTAGGGGCAGTGCTTAGAGCACTGAATGTTCGGTTCGCGCACGCGGAGTTCAAGTACACATACCAAAATAGTCACTTGTGACCCCTGAATGGGTATATATTTCCTACACAATCTTCTCACGTGAACATGAAGATTCCGAGTAACAGGATGCTCCGGCAGTCACTAAGAATCCATAGAAATATAGTTACAGTCATAAAGTTTGAATTACGAAAACCTGTAACCATTGTAAATAGCACAGCCACCCTATGCTGTGTTTTCTATGCTATTGCTAATTTATTATATTTATTCTACAAATATATTGCTAATGCTATATTTTATATTGCACTTACATTAAACTGTGTACAATTTTTTTCTGAAACATTTATTTTGTGCAATGAAACACTTTTTTTTTCTCCCCCCACCCCCCAATTTTGCTGCTGTAGACTGAAAATTTCCCCAGTGTGGGACAAATAATGTTTATCTTATCTTATCTTATATTTAAAAGAACCACAGAGCTTTGCCGTTAGGAAAATCTGTTCTGCCATATGCTAACAATGAAAAAGCCGAACAGATAGCATCAATGTTGCACCGTTATAGCCCTTGAAGTGGTAGCTATATGAACACAAATGATGGAGCAGTCGATATAGACAGTTAATATACCAATACTCACAGCCATATATTATTTATCCTGTGAGAAGAATGAGTATTATGACTGCGGCTTGCTGAGGAGTGACCGTCTCCATTTACAGCATATCCATATGGCCAAATTAAATTTAAAAGCTAGCTAGCAGACTCAAACAGTCGTACACGCAAATACAATACGATACATCTTTCTTGATATGGCGCAAATTACGTCTTTTTGTTTGCTTTTTCAGGCCAAGAAGTCAATTTACGACCACCTGAGCACGATAGCAGACTATGCCATTGAGATGTTTGACGTGTTGGATGAAATCAACTATCAATCTTATAATGAGTTTGTCTTGAGAGTGGGTACGTCTACGCACGCCCAGCAACGACAACATACAGTACCAGTCAAAGTATGATGGTTGTTCATGAGTTGTTTGGTTTGCTCAATGTCCCATGCCGGCGCAGGGATCAATGTTGGCCCAGTGGTGGCAGGGGTCATCGGGGCACGGCGACCTCAGTATGACATCTGGGGGAATACGGTCAACGTGGCCAGTCGCATGGACAGCACGGGAGTACCAGGGAAGATTCAGGTCAAAAACAAAATTCTGCACATTTTTCAGCCTTTTCCGTTCAAACGAATGATGTTGAGTAGTTTGTGAAATGGGACAAGCTGAAATGGAAAGAAGAGGAGCGGTAATGCTAAAATGTGGTTAATTTTTAATTATTATAAAATTGAGATCAATTAGTTAGTTTGTTTTTTTTAGTTTTAGGGTTATAGTTTTTTTTTTTTTTAAATATATGGAGTATTTGTCAAGTGTAAGATGAAAACAAAAAAAGTCACTGAGTGTTGTGTAGTAAATTCAAGTAAAACACTGAAAAAAAATACCTTTACAATAAGTGTATGATATTAATTGAATAAAAATAAAGGATATTTTGTCATGATTATTATTAGTTTTAGTTTTGTAATTATTATTATTTTTTTAAAGCATTTCCATTTTTGTGAACAAAAATGTTTTCACAATTTTAGTTTTCCGTTGACCATAATATCCTTGAATCCAGGTGACGGAGGAGGTCTACCGCCTGCTGAACTCCGACTACGACCTGGTGTGCCGCGGCAAAGTGAGTGTGAAGGGCAAAGGCGAGATGTTGACGTACTTCCTGGAGGGCAAGGTGCAGGGCGTGGGCACGGCCACCACCTCCTCGGTGGTACGCTCGGCAAGCCTGGCGCGCCGCATCCACTCTTGCGGCAAAACCAGCGTGCCCGCCAACCTGGGCAGCGTCTCCTCCGTCGCCGCCTCCCCCAACAGCCAGCCCACGTGCTTGCCTTCTTCCCGCGTGCCTGCGGTGGGTGAGGAGGAGGAAGAGGAGGTGGGGGAGGATCGAGATGTGACAGAGATTGAGATTGAGGCTGTGGCGACTGCGGCTGATGCTGCGGTGTAGACACAAACACAAGTGTGTGACCTCAGTGAAGGTACGAAGAGCCAAGATGGAGGCCTTGAGGAGAGCGGCCTGCATGTTTCCTGCAGGTGTGACGCTCATTGAGGAAATGAGTCCAGACAATCACTTGCTGTTTCTTGTTTTGTTTTTTTTTTTAGGGAATTTCAGCTGCTCTCTCTTCTTTGGACACACTCAGACACTCCATCCTTTCTTTGCAGGTAAAACAAATTCTGCAGAGGGGGCTATTCTACAGTATGTGTATTTAAAAAAAAAAAAGACTGATCTTGCTATTATTGCTTTTGCACAGTCCTTCTAATGATGCCAAGGATGCATTGTATTATTTGCAGTCGTCGCACAGTGTTTCTTATGGTGCGCCTAAGCATGTGTGTGCGCGCGTGCACTTGTTGTGAGTGTGTATGGTGATGTATCATTCGATGACACAGCACAACCACATTTGGAACACTTTTGCTGACACATTTCTTATCACTGGTGCATGATCTTTTTACACCTCGACAGCCATAGCTACAATCCCCCTTGCAAGAAAACCAAAGGAATGATATTTTCAACATGGCATCCACCAGGTTCGCACATGTGACTCTTTCACAAACCATCTGATAAGCTCAAATGTGTCTTTTTTTTTTCAACCCCACTTGAACAAACTACAGTGGAACCGCTAAGGGTTGATTGTAAGGCATTGAAGGTTGCTTTACATTTGTTTTTATTTTAAAAAAGAAATTAATTTAAAAAATAACAATGATACTCCTTCATTTGGAATACGTTTTTTCTAGGTGAGGTGGGGGGGAGCCAAAGAAAAAGCAAAAGAACTCATCCTTTGTGCAGGATGTCAAATAAACATCACATCAGTCGTGGAGAACGCTGAAAAACAAGGACCATTTTGCAATTTTGGACTTTTAGAGGCTACGATTGGCTGGCAACCGATTCAGGGTGTCCTCTACCTACTGCACGAAGACGGCTGGGATAGGCTCCAGCACCCCCTGCGACCCTTATGAGGATAAAGCGGATCGGAAAATGGATGGATGGATGGACTTTTAGAGGTTCCACTGTATGTGTTTCACCACTATTCTTATTTATTCTTATTTAATGGAGTAAACACATAATTGTGCCCTTTAGATACAAACACATATAACACGAGTGGGGAACCTGAGGCCAGTGTGCAATTCTTACAAAAAAAAAAAAAAAAAAAAACACCCTCCAATCTACTCATGCTCATCATACCTCCGAATAAACATTTGTAGTTCTTTATATCAGAAAAAAAGTTTCCCAAACCAGACACACACACAGTATTACATAACAGTATTAAAGCACACAATTGCACAAAACCAAATGTACTTTATAACGCATTTATAACAGAAGCAGCCATCCAACCAATGGTGCAGTTGTCTTACATTCCTCTTCTAGGTATACAGTGGATCCCCACATATTCACGGTTGAGCGTTTCTTTGGCATCCCATTCTCCATGTTTTCACTAAAAAACTCATCTGTTCCTGATTTACTGTAACGAGGCGAAAGAAAAGTCAAGATTTTTTCTCCCGAAATAATGTCAACAGTAGCACACTTTTTGTATGTACCTTGGGAAAGCAGATCTGAGGTAACAATGGTTAAAACCACTGGCTGCAACAAATACTGCGGGCCCTATTTTCGTAGACTTTAAGCTTGGCGTAAAAACTGGTGCATGTTGATTTTCGTGCATGTGCAAGCGCCCTTTAGCTTGTTTGGGAATTTGGCAGATGGCGCTGCGCCATGGTGGGTGTTCCAGTGGACCATTTTTTGTACACGTCCCCTACACACCTGATAATTTGCTGGCAGAAAGTAGACTAAACCTTATACGGGCTAAGAGCAGGTCTAAGTTGTGGTACAGGTGCTGTCAAGAAAGAAAACTCTGCCCATGCGCACAGCTAGCCCTAGCTTGGCGACACGAAAAAATGGTCCTGACTGTGCAGTCTCGTGTTTGTCTATGATTTCATTCACCAGAGCAAACACTACGGTCTTGTTAGCCTCCATTGGGGTGTAATCACACAGTATGAACGCTGCACTGAACTCCACTGGTAAATTAAAGTTCTACACTTTAGCATTAGCCCTTCAGTATCCATTGAGTAGTATTTCTCCCTCTCCACCATCTGCCACGTTTGTTTTTTGATATGTTGGCTTCGCAGTGGACGCAGTAGATCCACAGCTGGATTGCAGATCCTAATGATTTTTTAGTGGTCCATAAAAAATCAGAGCACACTACTATCTAATTTCACTTAAAGATGTTATCCCGATTCTGAGATCAGCCATCTTGTTGTCAAGAGATCGGACAGTGGCTAGCAACAGGCTAGGTAACGGTGGTCGCGTATCTCACCTGGAGAGTGAAGTGCAAGGATGATGTACAAGAAAAGCGACCGTTGATGTTCGTGTGACCCCGAGAAGCGCGTTTCAAAAGCGCTTGTGAGTAGATGCTACATGAGGATGTAGCGCTCTTCTCCTGCCTTATCGACTGTACGTCGCCTCGGGTAAATTGGCCGACAGCTACTTTGTCCACTCGGGCTTTGGGCTTTAGCGATGCAAAATCCGTGTTTTGCTGTGAGCTGTTGAGTGTAATTTCTTTTCAAAGGCACAATAATGTTTAAAGATGGTTGCAGGTGGTGGTTTCGGATCACATTTTGTGGTATTTTCTGGTTTAAATTATGAATATGCTATTGTCATCACTTTTAGGGGAAGGTCGATAATTGGCGGAAACTCGCTATTTGTGGTCAATCTCGGCCCCTCCCACCCGCAAATGGTGGTGGTCCATTGTACACCATACAGCAGTATTTTCAGTTTGGATCAGCACCTGCGTACATATGTCATGTTTCTGCCTTATTTCATGTCAAGCTTCAACCGTCTTTGTAACCTGCCTTTTTACACATATTCACTTTGATATGCAGGTCATACTCTTTAATGTTGTTCTTTGTAAATACCCAAACACCTGTAAACTCTGTTACAACGTGTACAGTGTAAAGATGGTTTATTGAATATTTTGTAATAAATACAATATTGGTGTATAAAATGATGAGAGGCAATGGCTTTACGAATATGGTATGTGTGTGTTTATATATATATATATAGATATATATATCTATATATATATCTCGTGTTTATATATATATATATATATATATATATATATATATCGTGTTTATATATATTTATATATATATAATCATATACAATATTATTAGGGCTACAACTAATGATTATTATTTTAATAATCGATTATTCTGTTGATAATTTTGTCCATTAATTAATGAATCGGATTAACACAGCAAGTATTAAATTGCAGCCTTAAAGTTCTAAACAGGACATAATTTCAAATTGACAATATCAAAAATGCACAAAGGTAAATCAATTAAGATGACATTCAGTGTTTTTTTTTTTCATAATGTGTCAGAAAAGAGGCAAAAATGTTGATCATTGCTTCCCAAAGTAAAAGCAGAAGTTTGCACGTTTTATTTTGATTCAACACAAATAATAATTCTGCATTCATGAAGGACTACAGAAATTTCAGAATATTTGCCACTGATAAGATGAAAGGATTTAAATTAAACTCGGTCTTTAAGTGATTAATTGTGTTAATTTAATCATCAATTAATTGATTGATCCTTGCACTGGTAATATACATGCTCGCCTTTAACAATCATCATGGGGACTCACTGAAAAAACAAAAAAAACACACACACAAAAAAAAAAACGATCGACCTCAGAAAAAAAAAAGTTTGTTATTCCTGGATGGTGCTCAAGTACATGCACACACACACACACACACACACACACACACACACACACACACACGTACACACACCACGTGGAGCAACGAGGGGGAATCTGAGGTAAATGACAGTTCACAAGCAAGCAAGCTGCCCTCCTCCCACCACAAGCCAATGTAACCTGCTTCCTGCCATATACTGCATGCAAGATTTCAGCACACACTTTTTTCATCCACTCCATCAATGCAACACATTCATTTAACACTTAAAATGTGATTTCATACATCTCTTCTTGTGCTTATTTTTCACAATTTAAAACTATTGACGGAAGTCTGAATCACTTGTCCGTAATGTGCTTTCAGCAAAATATCCCGAGGATCAAGAATGAATTAAACTTTTCACAGCCTATTTGTGATCTTGCTAAAATCCCCCCGGTTTTTGGGTCTTGCCCTGTCCCCCCACCTCAGATATGACCTGGCTCATGGAAAGTTCAGCTTTTGTGCCCATGAGACCTACTGCAGAGTGTTTTGAATCTAGAGCAGGGGCCCCAACCTTTTTTGCCCCACGGACCGGTTTATGTCAGACAATATTTTCAGGGACCGGCATTTAAGGTGTGGCGGAAATAATACAACAAAATAATATGGTATGAGCTGCATGAAAACTGGCGTTTTCGAAATATAATAATAAACACAAGGAGCGTCTAATCTGGCCGCAACACTCCGATCGCTATGGCAATGTTTAATGCCTTCAAAATACGATACAACGCAAATTCAAAGTGCATGAAAATGACCACTCACCACAGCACCGAGCTTGATTTTCTGCAACCAGACGGTCCCATCTCGGGGTAATAGGAGACAATGACACCTCAAGTGTGTGGTTTATGTCCAGTCTACTTCGAAATTTTGTTTTCGTCGCCGTTGCTGCAGAAACCCCCCGCCTCACACAGGTAGGATGTTGGAAATAGCAACAGTGCTATTGTGGCGATCTCAGAGTATTCAGCCATAACTTTAATCCAGTTGTCTCGAACGTACTTTTAAGGCCGCCGTCCTTTGCGATCTCCAGCGGGTTTTTTTTACTCATTTTGCGAGCTCCCGCGTTTTGTTTTGAAGTAATTCGTCACGTGACGGAGAAGCGTGACTTGAAGTGTGTCAAGCGTGACACAGACGGATGTAACGGAGAATCCGGTAGTTTTTCAAAATAAAACATCTTTCGTATTCCGAAATAAATAAAAGGGAATTAAGGCAAGTTCTTTCTGTGCGGCCCGGTACCAAATGCCCGGCGGACCGGTACCGGTCCGCGTACCGGCGGTTGGGGACCCCTGATCTAGAGCACCCAGAGCGTGGGAATCAGCGAGTGCGCAGAAAGGCAATCAAAGTGTTTTCCCTTGTAGCTGCGGCATTTCATATACCGTATGTAGCACATCACTAAAGACAGCCTTGAAATAATGTTAGCATGATTTAAAACATTTATTTTCACGGACATTTTTTTTTTAGGATTGAGAAGTTCGAACAAATGAAGTCTCCAGCAAGTATATATTTTACTCTCAATATCAAGTTGGTCAATTTGTTGCTGCTGGTGTCAAGGATTCCGGGCAAAACAAGGATTCCACAATCGTAGGCTTTGAACAAAAACATATTTATTTGTGAAACAAATCGCAAGACCAATAGAGGTAAAATAATCTGACAATCTCTAGGTATCTTCGCAGTTCTTAAATACAAGGCAAGGCTTGATTCGGAAATGCGGCACAGGTGCGCCTGCTGGAGGGGAAACGCCCTTCACTCTAGCTGGAGCTGAAACACAATCAAGACAACATCATGACATTCAGTATGTACTGTGTTGAGATCTTCGCTTTGTTCGGGATGCATTTGGGAAAATCATGACGAGAGATGAATTTTCTTGTTTAACTCAAACACGTGGCATGTTTATTTGCCGACTGCACAGAGAGCAGCCGCTTCTCATCACCATTGAACCAGAAGTA